ATCAATTTACTAAACTTATAATTAAGCTTTTCATACTAAATCTATATTATTTTGTGTTTTTTATGTTCAGGCCCAGACCACACTTTATCCCAGGGACATCCCATAGTAGTCCCATATGTCCTGAGAATGTCCTGAGGACTACCCTGGGATGACCTCGGATGTCCCACGGATATGCGTGTGAGCTTATCCGTAGGACATCCCCGGGCGGGGACATTAGGCATTCCTGTGGATATCCTGTGATATCCCAAGTTGACCATAGGACCACTATGGGATATCTTGCATATCCTGTCGCAATATCCGTGGGATGTCCTGAGGAGAAAGTGTGCTGTCTGGGCAGTTACTTTCTCTATAGAATCGACCCCTTATTACGCCCCCTATGGTATAGGGGGGATACCATAGTATATATATGGAGAAAGTATTGTTTTCTTCAAAATTTTCGAGTTAGAGTTTTGAGTGGATATCCGTTTCGGGTCCCCCTGGAATCAAAAAAGTAGTTTTCAAAGTGATGTCTGAATGAATGAATGAATGAATTATGAATTTATTCCACCACATATATAAAAATTACACAACCAAATGTACAAAAAGAAAAAAGTTCTTTATGCAAAACTAAACTAACTAACTATAACTAATTAACTATATACATGCGTAAAAGGTTGTTCCTATCTAATTAGTTCTGGAATTAGCAGACATAGGCTGTGCCTGTGCGTCTGCTAAGTTGCTATAAAGATTATGAAGTTAAAGTGGCGCAATTTAGTTTTATTATTTTGTATGAGTGAAAAATAAAATTAAATGAAAAGTAAAATTAAATGAAAAATTAAATGAAAAATTAAATGAATTTCAGCAGTTAAGTAATACTGACTGAGTTATGTAATTAGTGACAGTACTCTACACGAAAAGAACATGCAATAAATATCAATATAAGCGTCGGAGAGAGAGCGGCTAGGGTGTGCTGTCAATGTCGAGGTCAAAGTCAAGTCAATGGTCAAGTGAGTCAAGTCAATGGTCAAGTCAAAGGTCGCGGGCCGATTCCGTCGCGCCGGTAAGATGAAGTAATAATAAGATCAGCTTCGTCCGTATTTAAATTAAGTAGCCATTCTTTAACAAGACGTTTAAAAGAGACAATAGATGTGGCGTCAAATAAATTTAATTCAGAATAGTATTTACAAAAATTTCGAAACACTATGTGAGATATATAAAAAGAATTTGTTGTTGAAAAAGTGTTGTATACCTGAAGTGTAGTAATGTGGACTTGAGATGAGTATCTTGTGTTATGAGAATGTGAGGTTTCATTAAATATTCTAGTGCAATTCTTGAAAATGTTAATTAGTAAACATTTGATATATAGTTTGCGAACTGTAAGAATTGATGTTTCCTTAAATAGGGCGTCTGACGGAAATCGTTTAGATTTACCAAAACCAATCTTTAAAAGTGACCTATGAGCAATATTTAGAGGTTCCAGCAAACTTTTAAAACATCCTCCCCAGGCTATAATCCCAAATGAGAGCAAGGATTGGACGTAAGCAAAGTAGGCAATTTTAATTTCTTTTAAGGTTAGAATTCCATTCATTTGTCTAAAGGCAAACATGTATTTCCTGACCTTACTCCTTACACTTTGAATATGTTCAGCCCACTTCAGCCGACGGTCGAAAATTACACCCAAGTATTTATATGAAGCTACCTCTTCAATAGCTTCGCAATTACAAGACAAGTTAAGGAAATCACTACAAGAATGAATTGTTAGGTTTTGTAAATTATAATCTGTGGTTTTACTAATAGAAATAGGCATAAATTTTGTTTTTGATATGTTTAGGGAAAGAATATTTTGGTCTAACCATTTTTTTATAACCATTAGATCATGTTGCGCTTTTTCTCGCACCTCGGGCCACGACTTCCCCTCCAGGAAAATTAGTGTATCGTCAGCAAACAAAAATAACTTTCCAAAAATATTGATTCTCGATATATTATTAATATATATTAAGAAAAGAATAGGCCCTAAATTACTACCCTGGACCACCCCATAATCGACAGGCATAGGATCACTGTCTGTACCATAAATTGTAACAAATTGAGCTCTGTTTGAAAGATAACTCTTGAACCATTCCAAAGCACTGCCGCAAACTCCAATTGTTTTTAACTTGTTGAGAAGTTTTAAACGATCTACAGAATCAAATGCTTTTTTAAGGTCAAGAAAAATTAATATAGAACGTTTTTTGTTGGAAATGGTATCGTACAACTCTTTGTTTACATCAAAAAGAATATCTGAAATATTTTTGTCGTGACGGAAACCGTACTGATGCTCACTGAGAATGTTATTAGAATGAAGGTAAGCAACCAACTGATCTTTGACAGCCTTTTCAATTATCTTAGTAAAAATACTCAACAATGAGATTGGGCGAAAATTGTTTTTATTAGTAATTTCGTTGGATTTATATAATGGAAAGACTTTAGCCAATTTGTAACAATCAGGAAAAGTTCCTGAAGTTATGCTTAAATTAACAATGTGTAAAAGTGGAAAACAGAGGATATGAAAGTTTGCTTTAAGGACATCGGCCGATATACCATCGTAACCAGGCGCGGAACCACCCCGCAGGCCGCAGACGTAGCGTTGTAAGTCATGTGCAGTGATCGGTTGAAGCGTAAACGTCGTGTCGAGTTGATAGTCACAGTCGTCAACCAATAGGGCCCCACTTGGGTCTAGTTTACTGGCCAGTGAGCTACCGACGTTAGAGAAAAAAAATATTGAAATCCTCTGCGACTTGTTTATACAATGTTGTAGATAACTGAGTGTTTGATGTAAATTTATCTATTGGAAACGAATCTTTTTTATTTATTCTGTCTGTGTGTGTGTGTGTCTGTATGTGTACAGAGCAAGGGACTACCTACACCTTTGGTCCGATTACGATGAAATTTGGTGTGTAGGTTTTAATCTATGGTATCCCCAGGCATTTGTTTATTATTTTAAATTTTGAATTTTAACGTAGATTTTCTTATAAAACCTCAATAACGGAAAAATCGGATTTTCTCAAAAATGGCAGGAACGATTTTGATAAAAATTTAGTGTGTTGTAGCACTTTAAATTCTGAACAAAATGGTACGAATCCTATTTCTGTAAAAATTACGGTTCAAAAGTTATTTTAAATTAAGTTTTTTCCATAAAAATCCCATCAAGAGTAAAAATCAGATTTTTTGAGATAAACTTGTTTTGATCAAAATTAGTATGTTATGGTCCTTATAATTCTAAAAAAAAAATAGTACAACACCCTATTGTAACAATTCTGGTACAAAAGTTATTGCAACTTTTGTGATTTTTAACTATAAAAAATCATATTTACTCTCATCGCTTACCCATGATAAAGATTGTTGACAAACTTATAGGAGAAAGTATGTTTCAGAATGCTGATACCATTTATTTGGTATTGTTTAGAGTACTTAGCTGAAGAGGCAAACAATATAAATAATATTAAAAATTCATTTAAATAATATTAAATATCAATAATTAATATTAAAATATTTAAATAATATTATATAATTAATATAATTTAACGGTGTGTAGGGTAAAACCGTGAAGTCTAACCCTGGTTGAAAATAGCCAAATAAGATGGCTTATTATTATACTGATACATGAGATAAGTGACCGATGAAAGTGATGATAAGTGAAGTAGATTTGAAAGAAGAGCGTTTCAAAAAGTTACCACGAAAAGAGTGCGATAAAAGAACGAGAGTTTGACCGACTTGTATAAGGGCTCATTCACCGATCATTCGAACCTAGAAGATTGTAATAACTGTATACTATCTGCATGCTCATGTGACTCATTAAACTGCTATGCCTTCAGGATGCCCAGATCTCTGATCTGGATGGGCTCTCAGCACATCATATAAGATATGAGATATTAACAAGGCCCTCATATATTTTCGTTAAATTCAACGACGTGAGACAGAGGAGATACTTGGACTTATGCTATTTATTCAGAGGTTGGCCACCTCTTTTACCTTGCATTTGCCCGTCCACATGAGCCATAGAATAAGCCTGTGCGAAGAACGTATTTAGCAAAGCAAGGGGTGAGCCGTTACACTACTAGGTTGGATGATCTGTTCTGATAAAAGGTAGAGGGAGGTACTAGGGTCAAACCCACGACATCGGGCCCTGAAGAGGTATAACTTCTAGCATATATTTAAGATACTAAATTTATCTATGCTTCTAGAAGTGAAGCTTTTTGTGCCCTCCCATCAATCCGTCACCATGCATCAGCAACAGATTCCATCCACACCCTGCAAATTCGAAAGCATTAAGGAGTTGAGTTGTCGTGTGTTCTACCGAAAAGTATGAGCTCCCCAACAAATATAATTTAACCCATACAACCCACCACTAGACATTAGATAACATTTTATCAGAAGGTGGTGGATTAGTAATGTCAAGAATATTCTCTCGTCAGGTGCCACCATTTCACACCTCACTTAAAAATTCTTCTTCTTTTTGGTGCAAGGTTGTCTGATCAGTGACACCTTAATACATCCCCCATTTTATGGTAGAATGTTATAATGAAATAGCCAAAAATAGGATTTTAACACACCACCGTTTGGCTAGGCCGAATCTTTTGAGGCCATGTTTGTGGCACTCTGTTTTACCAGCGGAGACGTACTTTAATAATGTACCAGTCCAACTCAAAACTTATGCTCTAATTTGAGATTTTCCTTCCGACTGCTTTTGTGTACAGTCTTCAGTGAAGAAAATAATTCAAAATGAAGAATTTTTTGAGCTGCTTTGATGCATAATCTGCAATAGATAAAAAAATTCGCAGACTTTTTGAGTACCATATAATATGTAATAGTAACTTTTCTTATGCAGTAAATGAAATTGATGAATACTCAAGCGACTGATCTAATTTTTTTTGCCAGAAAAAATATTTTTTACTCCATCACTAAAAACTCCTACTACTAAAGAAGTATACACGGTTGTAGTCAAAGGGGAAATAAATAAACACAAATTAAAATACCCCTTTATTTATGCTCCTGTCATCTGAGTTTCTTGTAAATGTTCTTTGACGTCTTTTGTCAATGGTTCTGTGCTGACAAGGAAGTAGTCTTCCTTTGATGGTTTGACTGATGTTCTCCGTCTCTGAGGCAGGAACCTTCGTATTGGAGGAGAGAAGAGATGAGGGTCCATGGAGGAGAGATCCTGAGGATTTGTTAGGTAAGAGACAGGAAGTCCTACAAGGAACACGATCAGACAACCGACCAAGCAGTAGTGCATGTAGGACAATTGGAATATAAGGGCTACTGACTCATCAGCAACTACAGGAGTTCCATAACCGGTCCAGGTCTGAACATTGGCTGAGGCACTGAAAAAGAGACACTATTTAATATTAGGTTGAAGAATCTTGAGTTATTGGTTCAGTTGGTAGCGCCACGGACTTCGGGCCCGAGTCAGCGATGTCGTGGGTTCAGATCCTGGTACCTGCCACTACTTTTTACACGCTTGTACTGTTGGATATGTTCCTTTTTGTCTATGGTTCCACACACAGGCCTCTGTGACCGGGCAAATGTAAAGTGAAGTAGGCCTCCGAACCTTTAAAGAAAAAATTACATTGAAATCCAATAAATTTTGCATACGTAGTCATCCCACTAGGTAAGGAGAATTTGTGACACTATTTCTGTTTGAAAATGCTTATAAAGTTGTATTTGTGGACACGCACTATACGGAACAGTAAAAAGTAAGAAAACATATACAAATAAATGAAAGGTTATGTCATGTTGGGTTATGATGGAATTTCAATTTCGGGCTTAAAAATACTGAACATATTCCCTTGTTAATGTTTTATCAAAGTCCCACACTGCGATGAATTTTAGTGTTCCATATGCCTTTATCATAGACTAACAAACACAACAATTATTCTAAAGTAATTACCCTAATATTTTTACAAAAAAACACATCTTTCTTGGTAAAATAACCCCTCAGTCTCAAACTATTTATGAGACCACTTCAAGGCCACTTTAGTAAATTGATCCAGTAAGTCTGAGCTCAAAGGTGCAAGATAATTTATGTTTGTTGGCGGCCCAATGACGAGAAAAGTCCCCATACAGGGAAGGGGTCGCAAAAGTCTCTTGCACCATGCCGTGTTACATGCAAACCACAGCCAATGAAGTATGAGTTATTGAAACATAATGTAATTAAGTTCTAAAAGCTTAGAGTTTGAGTAATTCAAGTGATTAGCCAACGTCGAATCTATCTGTAGAATAGAATTAAATTACGTTATACTTAAATACAAAATAACTACTTGTAGATACTATAAAATTAACACTGCCACCAAATAAATCAAGTTTTACAAAACTTACTTGAAACCCAGAGAGGCAGTGAGATTAGCTGGACATCCTGCCACACTTGTAACTTTTCCTGGAAACTTGAGAAGACCTCGTGCAATGTACCACTGAGCACCAAAGACAATCCCTGACATGCCAAGCAAGCTTGCCACACCACCTGCGATTGCTCCCTAGAAAAATAGGTTGTAGTTAAAACACTAAATTGAAAAAAAACCTTATTGTGAAACACTTTGGAATAGTTGTTGTTTATTAACAAAAATAACCCATATTTAGTTATTCTTCTTAAATTTAATCAGATTATTTTAATTCTTATTTTAGACAGAAAACTCCTTATAAAATATAATCAAAATTAATTAAAAATTTATGAAAGTTCATTAAATTAGCTTACTTTTGAATTAGCCCGAGGGAAAAACAGTCCCAAGCAGAAAACTCCAACCAACGCTCCATTCGTGACACCAATCAGACTCAACGCCATCTGTTGAATAAATTATTATAGGTTAACTTCCAGAGATAAGAGAGTACATTTCATAGTTAGTTTTTGTGGGAGAGTGGTAGATTTATTTTACCTCACATAATTTTATAGGAGTATGAAACGTAACGTTATAACGACTTGTCATGTAAAACAATATGAAAATTAAATGTAAATAACCAAAAGTGTATTCAATAAAATGATTTTGCTATGCATATTTAAAGCAGTATGAGTCATGAGCCTTAATCCACGTTCAAAAGAGCTTAGAACTTATAGTTAATGCCAAGCATGCATGGATTTATTAAATCTACGATAAAAAACAAGGATATATTATAAACAAAAGATAAACACCATTTCTAGTGACGAAAGATAAGGATAAGGAATGAGAAATAATACAAAGGTTTTTTTATTGAGAGTAAACACATAAACATTAGAAAAACTTATACTATGATGGGTTATTCGGAAAGATAGTGCTACTCACCACTTAAGTGTAAAAATATTGTGTGTTTCATCTGTGACTATTATGCTACTCTATTTCATGCTTATCAGTATTCATCATCAACACAGATACCTGAAAGAGAGCTCCGAGTTTCTCCACAATGAAGACCAGCGCCACACAGACCAGACCCAGCACCAGCACAATGACCTTGAGTATGAGGGACTGAGAGGCCTCAGACAACTTCTCTCCCTTCAACACAAACTGGACAAAGTCCTCGTACAGCGTACCAGCTACTGTGTTGAGACCAGCGGACATCGTGCTGAGGACAAAACAACACCTGTATTGTGGCTGATCACAGACCAGACCCAGCACCAGCACAATGACCTTGAGTATGAGGGACTGAGAGGCCTCAGACAACTTCTCTCCCTTCAACACAAACTGGACAAAGTCCTCGTACAGCGTACCAGCTACTGTGTTGAGACCAGCGGACATCGTGCTGAGGACAAAACATTAGTAGTGTGGCTGATCGAGATATGAAAAATGAATTCAGTAAACATGAATGCTAAGGTGTGTATTAGAAGATTTCTGTGTATAATCATAGTGTGTAGCCGACAGTCTGTACGATGGAACCTTTTCTCTGACTCTCAGTCTACTTGGGAACTGTATAGTTTAAGGCTCGGGTCAGTCCTAGGTAGACAAAGGACCAGGAGACAGCTTTTATCATACAGTATAAAAGTAAGTAATGTAGACTGACCTGAGAGCAGCACTGAGCACTCCAGATATGAATAGTCCTGTTAATCCCGGGAAGTCCCTGGCTACGTCCATCACATAGTACGGTAGAATCTGGCTGGTCTTCTTCACCATCTAGAATATCCAATTATATTTGGCACAGCACCGGTAAGTCAAAGTTTCAAATAAATGTAAACATTTTATTCACATAATTATTATGGTTGCTGGTACCACCGAGATGTTAGGTACAGAGGAAATTATTCATTGGTGCACTTAAGTGGTGTCTAGGACATAGTCCAACACCCTAACACTCCATGCACTCCTTTCTCCATTGCCATAATTTACTACAACGCTCCTAGTGTTCTGTGAGATAGTAGAACTTCTCGCACAGTGCCTGTTGTTTGGGTTCTTCTTCGCTCGTCACAAGTATATTTTGCATAGCATTTATGTACATGTACGCACAAAATAACAGAGCTGAAAGCCCACGGGTCAACACATAAGCAAATTTCCTCTGTACCTTACTTCTCTGTGCCGGTACGTTAAATTATTTACACGTTTAGTTGTGTGTTAATGATGTTAATGATAAGTGTCGGGGAGTAAGCTGATATAGCAGTGAGGCCCTGAATTCCAATCCAACCACATCATCAATGGATTTTATCTAAGTGATAATGCCGCAACCCCTAGGCCCATCCTGGAGTAATGAAAAAAGAAAGCCTAGCGTCTTAAGGAAAGGTTGACTGTTAGTTTGTGTTCAATTATTATGCTTTTATTTAAGAATAGTATATTGTGATCTTGTTATTCAGCTTTGGAATTTAAACATTTAAGTACTCTACTGTAAAGTGTTGGCAAATTAAACACTCTTTAACCATATAATACTCACCTTAATTGCTACAGGATCACAGTCATGATAAGTTGCGTACAGAAGGAGGCCGATACAAACAACCAAGGACTTGATCACAAAGAAACCGATGAAACTCCAAAACATCACACTAGAATTTTGATAAAATTAAAATAAATTCATCTTGTGTACAAAACCCTGAGCCGGCCTTAGGTACGTGAGAAATATGCGGGGTGGGGAAGCCCCCGCACTTACTTGGTACAAAATACAAAAACAATTTTAAAATAGTGTAAATTTTACATCAGTAATGTGAATTTATTGTGAAAAAAATTAGGGGAAGTATAAATACTAGTATTATACTTTGAGATTTTAGTTCGTTATAATTGTAGGGATACAACCTTTTTGGTTGTAAGGGGCCCTGCTTTGGATGTTTGCACTTGGCATCACCCAAGGCCGACTCAGTAAATACCTTTTCTTTATCCTGAATAAAGTAAGTTTTTATCTGCTAACCTACCTACCAGTAGGGCAAATCTTCCATACAGTTCTTGGTGTCTTTTAGGGATTCATACACACTAATTGCCAGAAAATATGTTTGTTAAGGGAATCACTCAAATTCCACAGTTTAAACCTAAGGGATTCACACGTTTTAGTTTGATAGTAGTCTATAAAACTCAAATAATATAAGTATTTAAAATCTTTACTGGTGGAAACCTGGAACTTGTGACTTTAAAATGTATGCATTTTAGGTTAATATCTTAAAATGCCAATATTATTATAGATATATAGGTTGAGGTGAGTCGGTGGCTCAGTTGGTAGCGTCACGGACTTATTGTTGGACACGGGTCCAAGATAGCGATGTCGTGGGTTCGGATCCTGGTCACTGCCACTCAAATTTGTCAATACAGTCCACCTTCGTACTGTCTGTACCGGCTCACCCCTTGATTTTCTGGATACTTTCCACGCACAGATCTGTAGTAGTCTATGTGGACGGACAAATGCAAGGTTAAAAGAGGCCGCCAACCTCTTAAAAAAATATATATACAACTTTCAACTCACGCTTTGGACTCTTTGATGGTAGATACTGCTATGAACCTCTGCACAGCCCCAGGATGGACGGCTATCTGAGCCAACCAGAAGAACACCGAACCAACCGAGACGGTCCAAAATGTGTTGCGCTCAAATGGATTTAGGTCAAAGCTGGAAATAATGCAGTATCACTTATAAACATCAAAATCTCTACAAAATAGTTAAGACTGGCATCCATAAATATACAAGTATTACATAATTCACCAAGCACACTGCTTTTTACTTTCTCCTCTTGTACATAGTATATGGACAAAATATTGATTTCTTCAACATTTTTGAGTTTGAGTTTTAGTTCGATACATTTTGGGTGCTCCTGAACTCCAAAAAGTTGTTTTTCGAAGTCTCTATGTATGTGAGAGGATGAGTACAGAGCTACAGAGCTGTGGTTAGTTTTTGATGAAATTTAGTATGTATGTCCAAAATTATCTCTAGGAGTGTAAAATTTATTTGAAACTTTGATTTTTAATGGTGATTTCCCCATAGAACTCATAAAAAAATGGAAGAATCTGATTTTCACAAAAACGGTTCAAACAATTTTGATTAAAATTTAGTATGTTATGGAACCGCTACTGCAGAGGACTTACTTGAGGAACTCCAGTCTGCCTCCTTCGTCATTGATCCTCCATACCTCCTGTATGCTCCCCACCCTCAGCAGACCTAGGATGGCGATGAACATTGTGGACGAGAGGGTGAACACTCCCTGTAGTGTGTCAGTCCACAAGACTGCTTTCAGTCCACCCTGCATACCAGTAAAAACAATAAAAATGTACTGTAGTATATTTCACCACTAGAGCGTAAAGTGACTCTTTTCGACCCAAGATCAAGTTTTACAACAAAGCTGAGGTCAGAAAACGAGTGAGAGTTTAAAAGACACTTTTTGCCCGTGTGATGAACTATATTTTTTGTCATTGAACTATTATTATCCAAGCAAACTATGTTAAAAACGAAAATTCTTTTTATGTAAAACAAACTCTTTAAAAACAACTTCCAACTGGTTTTCAATTTTGCTAATGCCAACAAGCAGCGATTTAGTAAGTAATTAATTATTTTCGTCTATTACAATTGTGTTAGTATATTATCATTGACTATTGGATAGATATTATACTATCCATGTGTCAAACAAGAATGCAACAATAAGCTACAACCCAGTCAATAGATACATAATTTCGATACATGCGATTGCTTACAATCAAAGTTTACAACTGATTTTACAACATCAGAACTCCCTAGGCCTTTTACTCCCTAAGGAGGAAAAAAGGTATTTTAGACCCGCAACGAAAAATAACTACTGTTTTTGCTGCTGTATGAAGAAAATTATTTTTTTTAAATTTTGGTACCCACGGCTATCTTTGGACCATGTGCAGGAGGTATTACAATTGGGTGATAAAGCAAATCTATAATCTTGCATTTATTTGTTTGTCTATCTTGCTTGTTTTTGTTGATATTTATGATATTATTGAAGACACTTTAAATCGTGTTATTGCAGATATGATTATTTTTGTAAATAATTCTTATAATAAAATCATGGAAATATACTTACAAATGAAGTGTAGAAGATGCATATCAAACTCACTATGGGGCTTATTATATGAACAGATACTCCAGTCACTGGAAACATGATAGCATTGTCAAATGAAATCATTCTATTACCCACATCAGCTGAAGAAAATTGTGAGGTTAATTATGTCCATATTGTGTAGAAATTATTATCGTTTCAGTTTGTTTCTTATTAAGGCTAATCAATTTGGCAACAAAGGATCATATGTGAATTTAATAGCCAAAATATATTCCAACAAAAATGTTTAACTTGAATTGATAAGTTTTGAAAAGTAATTAAAGAAATAAAATGCCCTACCAATGTATTTAACAATATAGAACAATTATAGAATATAGTATTACCTTGGTTAAAAGCTAGAGCAGGAACATAGATGACAACTGGAATAAAAATAACCTGAAAATAAATGGATGGTTAGAGTTAACAATATTTTTTCGACAGTAAATATACATTAAATTATTATGATACAACAAGCCAAGTTGTGATTCTAAAATTATTTCCGATATCTTGGAAAACGTATGAAAATATTGCAATTTAAATCCTTGAAACAATTATTTTTGTATACATAACAGTACTTATGTTATTTTTGGGGTGGTAAACTCCCATTCATACTGTGAAATGATGTTTATACAGATATAACTCAAATAAAATACTAATTAGAATATGTATTTACAGTATCTTTTGTAAAAATAAAAAGATATTTCTTGTTTTTACAAAACACATGGAAACATAAGTAAGATATTGATTTTGTAAAAATTGTTAGACAAATATATTGTGAACATTTTTTACCACTAACTATATAACATAATTTTATCACATTAATAGTTTTTCAATATTAATAACTTACCAGAGATATTGCAAAAATAAGGGACGCAAAAGTTCTTGTTCCTTTGCTGAACCTTAGTTCTAAATACTGCAACAAATAAAAAATATTTAGTCATACAAACCAACTTCTACAAATATTTGATGTAAATTGAACCAAAACATATACCATAAGCAATTATAAAACATGTACTGTGTACACGCACACGTATCTTTCTATATCTATACTCTAATTTAAAATTAAGACGATTACAATCTTATTTGTCACATTGTTTTTAATAAGCGAGGCTTGATAGGTGTGGGTAGTGAATTTATTTATTTGTTTTATTACAATGCTACAAAACAGGATGAGGTTAATGAAGTCTCCACTCATCTTTTACCTCTAACCATAGTAGAACTGGTAACGTTAAAAGTAGTATGTTTAGTGCAAGACGACCTATAAGCTAACATAGCAGACAGGAGGCTCTCAATTATTCGTGTGTAATTCATATTGTTATACAACCTTACTGATAGTGTTGCCACTTCGAACGCTACGGCCTGGAGTTGAAGGTGGCCGTGCTATGATATACCTACACTATGGAATACAGTAAAATGCACTCTAGCACTCACATGAACACCTATCATTCAACTTTAACTGTCTGTATTCAGGCTTTAACTGATCGTTACCTCATATAAAGAGTTTAACTGGAGATCGAAGAAGACTGGGAGGAACAGATAGTTGACCAAGAACAGCATGGCGATGTTACAGAATGCTATTGCTATGTACTGAGTCCCGTAGGAGTAGATCTCCGCAGGGATACCCAGGAGTGTCACCCCGGATACATGGCTGGTGGAGATACAAAGGATGTTAATAAGTTAATAATCTATATAAGAAATCTAATAAATACTTTCTATCAGTAGCTTGTTAACAACCCTTGCCATGGGTAAGCAGTTGGAGTAAAATCACTACTTCTGCTTTATGGTACTTTGTAGAGAAAATCACAAAATTTGCAATAAATTCTGAACAGTAATTTTTACAGCAATTAGGGTTGTAATGCCTTACTTTCGCAATTCTACTTTTAACATCCACAGATGGTTGAGCTTATAGTCTTAGTAATTTTGAAAATATCAAAAAAGAATGAATCAAGATCACTAATCACATCATTGATAGCGTAATAGAGTAAAAAGGTATCTATCAACATCGTCAACAAATACTTTACTTGTGTATATAGTTTTTCACAGTGTTCAAAACATAGCGTACCTAAATACTAGAGACATGGTGACAGGAAAGACGCCCATTTTCTTGCCCCCGAGCAGATATTCAGCCACGGTGTTCTGTTTCTTGAACCATCCGAAGTAGACTCCAATTAGCAGAGAGAATATCAACATGGAGCCAAACACCGAATATTCAACCCAGTTGAACATCAGCACAGCTGAGCTGAAATCTGTCCCGGTCTTGTTCATCTGAAAGTGAAGAGAAATTGTAACACTAGTAAAACCCTAAGTTGTAGTATGAGAAATAATGAGTAAGCTTCCAGATGTTAAATAGTATAAACACAACCATGGACTATTAATACAAGACAGAGGGAAATGTGGCAACGCCGCAGCCCCGGCCTACCGAAACAGTTAAGTCGGGACCACATAAGTTTGCAGTTGAGGGAGGAGCCTATTTACCATATGGTTTTGAATGGACCAATGAGAACGGTGCGGTGTTGCCAAATCTAATAATACCTGATTTGAAAATATTGCTTTGTATATTTTAATTAGGTAGTGTTGCCATTGGCGATGTGGCAACGTCACACTAGCCTTGCCGTGTGATTGGCTGCCACCAACTGCAAACTTTAGTTCATATTGGAGCTTCTGCACCAAAGATTCAGTGATTATAAACAACTTTGGTTTATAACGTTATGTTAACAGCTGATCATTCAGTTGAACGTATAAACACAGTCAGTTTGCTAACAATAGACAAATATTTTGTGAAAAAGGATTTCAAGTATGCTACATTTTAATAACTGTAACATGTCTTGGGTAGAATCATTCTTTATATTTTTTATCAAGCACTCTTTATGATGTAGAACTAAAAGCCACAATTTTAATTTGTGTACTGCAAATTAGTAGTTTTATTCACCTTATAAATATATACAACAAACATAATACTCGTATTTGAAAGTTATAAGGGTATTGTATTGTATTTGTTTTGTCTCGAAAACAAGTCTTGAACACTATTTAAATGCGAAATTCGTGAACGGGTCCCATTGTTGTTTTTTAGAGCTTTAGAATGGAGAAGTAATGCTTAAGAATATTAGTTACATTGTAATTTAATTGTATTGGTTCAATCAAAATTGTTTAAGACTTTAAATAAAAATGTATTATGTTTTATAAATACTCTTTCAGATAGTATAATACATTTTTTAAATTGGTTGAACTATTAATCAACGCAAAATAGGGGCAAATATAAACTTAATTAAATAGCGAGCTTAGAAAGATTATTCATTGTGAGTCTTTAAAACTTAAAATAAACTCTTGATTGGTAATTTAAATAAAATTAAATGATAGTTTGTCTAAGAAATAGTAAAAGGTACAAGTATGGAGTAATATGAAACTTTTCAGTCGTCTAGACATTTTAATTGGCAATTTTCTTGTTTCACGTCGCTCCCAGCATAACACAGCCTTAAGTGAAATTCAAACGGGTTTCTTCCAGAATATTGTTTTATCACAAGTTACAGTTTTTCCTTAAACAGATAATTTATTTAGAATTTTAACAAGTCCATTTAAATCTTCAGATCATTACCTCGATTAAAAATGTTCTCTAAAGTCTCGTGGATTTGCTCTTGGGTTAAAATATTATAAATTTAACTTAACTAAATAGTGTATTTTGCTTGGTGGCATAGGCATTATTAATAATTTTTTTTGTGAACAAACTACATATAATAATTATTATTTTGTTTGATTTAATCGAATATTGATTTAATTTTTAAATTAATTCAATTAATTCATTCAATAATTGTATACGACATGTTTATGTAATAATAAGTACTAGAGGTCGTCATTGATTGAAACTCGACCAAAAATATGTAATGTACAGACTTCTCTAATTTCACCCCACACTGTAAATAAAACGTGTAATTGGAATTTCTTCCATTTGATTTGATTTTCTGTTAATATTTCGTTGTCATTTCGTCACCAAAATGGCAACCCATAAGACCCATGTAAATTTGTTTAAAATTTAAAATTAATTCGTTCTGCTTATTTTTGAGCCTATTTAAATTGAAAAAGGGCACTCCTACAAGAAAATATCTTTCTAACAGAATGCGTAGATTTTGCCTGCGATCCACAAGAGCTGAGGAATTTCTTTTTAAAGAAACATGCTTGCCTATTAATTAATATATAGAATGATTTACGATAAGCAAGTTTGAAATTTACCATTTTATGAGAAGTTTTTATTGAAAATAAAGACAATTTAGTCTTCACCTAAAAATAAACCAGACTGACTATTTTATGAACAGTTAGCCCCTTAAAAACCTGTAGTATCAATAACCCTATATTGCTATTACCATTAATTTTATAAATACCTTTTTTTATAAACACACGACAAAGACGTGGATCCAAGATGAACGTAAGGTAAAAAGACAATTATAAGTCGTCGCGTTTCAGCAAAGATAACAATGTTTGATTAAAGAGGGATTTAACTCAAAACAACCGTCTTTTGTAAGAGAAAACTTTACCTTGTTGATGTAATGAATGGGAGCTTGTGTTTCCGCTGAGTATTTCGTGAAAGTTTAAGGAGTGTTTGGAGTAGCGGCTTAGCCACTAATAAAGGAAGAACTAAACCAATCAATAGTAATTACGATAAACTGGTATATCAGTTAAATACTGATTCTTCTAGGTTTAATTTACAAAATTTGTGAATCAATTTTAATAACAATATAGAGCTATTTGCTTAACATTTTTTACGAGAAAACATTTACCAGATTTGCAGGGTTTTGTAAGAATAAACTAATACATATAATTATTTTGTAATTTTAGGCGTAATAAATATCAATGTATGTCTGAAAGACAGAAATTAAATGTAGAAGAGCGTAGGGGGTTTTCATTATCTTATAAAATACGCCTTAACGTTTTGTTACTAATAGGTAAACTAAGTATGTTTTGGTAAGTATCTCGTAAGTTTTAGAAAAAAAATTCAGCTAGATTTAATTTTTTAACTATACTTTTTTTAATATTAAATTAGTATTTTACCTTGTATTCTGGAAAAAGTATGCCTATTAAATAAATTAAAACTACTTAGGCCTATACTCACGTTAGGATGTAGATTGTTAACAATTCTTACCTTATTAATAAATTGATTAATTATGGAAAGAGTAAGGACGTAATGCAAATTTAGAAATTCGTTCTTAAAGTTGGCCGAAAAAAGGTGCTTGTAGGAAGTTGCTGATGCCTTTGTCGTTGAAATTTTTAGCAAATATTTAGGTAGATTTACTGACTTGAAGATAACTTATCTAATTCTTTGTTTGAATATTCATCCAACGTTTCTCAAGGTTAATTTTAAGTGATCTTCTACACTTGCATCAAGCTGAAAAGTTTCCGCCAACAATTAAATTGAAAAAAATACAACTATGAGCTTAAGTGGAACCTCGATAAGAAATTAATAGCAAGGGGCCCATGATATTAGGTGTCATTTTCAAATACCCTTGCTTTTATTTTACCCTCAATTAAATGTTATTGCAAACCTCTATAAGGAGTCAACCTCAAAAAGTAAAATTTGATCATCCCCAAGAAAGACTTGTTATCAAGGTTCCACTAATATTGATACTATACCAATATATATTTTATGAGGGAACACCCACAATTTTGTAGCCAAACTTGAAAATTCCTACAACATAAAACCTCAAAATAATTGAAATGTTACTATCGTGTTTTTATATTTGCTTAAACCTTTGTATCAACTTTAGTGCTAAATTACAGCATTGCTTTATAATTTATTGAATTTGTCATTAAAAGAATTATCGCAAAAAGATATTAAGTGTAAAAATTTGAAAGATATTGTGTGTGTTTCTGTAGTATACATAAATAATGAAAACACAGTCAACGATATATGCAAGTTAATCGTTTTTTCATAAATAATATAATATTATTCTTATTTCAAACATTTTATAGACAATTGTGATTTCAAAAGTATATGTGTTGAATTAACGTATTTTTTTGTAACGAAATAAAGAATATTAATACAGTAATATTTATATACATAATACACTTTAATTTCTCACAAGGATGTTATAATCCTGACCCTTAACCTTTGACCTTTTCAACGAAAAGCCTTTAGTAAAACACAACTTAATTTCAACGTCTACGTAGTCTTGCAGTTGACAGGCCTTAACATAAATGTGGCGTAAGAGGAAACTACGTCTTGAATAGGATAAAGGTCGACAATTTAAAATCCAATCTTTCATAAATAAAGTTATAACGTGGGACATTACCGAAGTCGCCATTGATGGCAAATTGGTTTCCAACGCGAAGTTTACGTGAGTGAAATTGTGATTTTTCATGAATAATATTAAAGGCCTATTCTGTTAACAAGATATAATATTTTAAAACCAGAAATCCTAAAAATACATTCTTATTGCATATAGCCTGGATATTTTGTAATTAAATACCTTACAGGTTATAGTCCTTAAGGTCCATAGGTTACCGTTTTGATTCTGAGAAAGTTCAGTTGCTTGATTGTGGGTTCATCTCCCCTAGATCATTTAACTTCCAATAAATGGCCACAGCTACATAAACATCCACATTTACTCTCCAAAAATGCCACTTTTCTATACTTACTCCATATTCAGTAAAATACCTACACAAGTACGTTAGTATATGTTGTCTAGTGATTCAAAACTGAGGGGCACAAACGCTAGAAATATTTTCGAACACCCAGTAAAATTTAAATCAATATTAATATAACTTTTCATAAGTTCATACCGCAGAAAACCTACTACGCGAATCTAAATTCGTCTGATGGAATTTTAACTAAAATATTTCCATAATAAAGTCGTATTTATGCCTCATTTTATATTAATATTTTAACTTTGAGTACTTATATTTGCTTCTAAAAGAAAGGAAATAAGCGTGTTTTTTTTGTGAATTGTTGAATAGCTTGGTATGAAATAGATAACAAATAATAATTTGCATAATTTGATCAATATATATATATATATATCATTTACGAACAAAGCGTACTACAACAGTTTTTTAATCTCTAAGAATACCATGGGAATTTCAAACGTACAGTTTTTTGGAATGTTCTCCCTAACATTTAATTGCATAGAAATGCTTGCCAAATTATTTGTTTTTCTAAGCTCCGGCCGACAGTTACAATACAAATTAGGTATTTCCATATTTTAAGGGTGAAAATTTAAACAAAACAATTTTGAAAAACTTGAAAACCCCCATAACGACTAGTTTCTATGACCCGATCTTGCTGGTAAGAAAACTCATTGAAGTTTATACAGTTTTACACATTCATGTTAAATTTAATCAAAACCGGACAATAACTACACGATTTGTATTGTTCAAGGACATATATATGCAAACATTTGAGCTAATAGTGTTTTTGGTCTCTCGAGACAACAAAATAAAATGTCGGTCCCGGGTCTAGGTCTTTCCATTCCGCCTACAGTCTAGAGAAATTCACTGAAACAAATTAAATTCATCAATTTAAAACAATATTTTTTTAATGTTCAAAAATAAATGTTTACATTTCTTAATTTAATTACCAACCCAAACATGTTTCTTAAGCAGCAAACAGAATATATTTTACTGAATCATAATATTTACATCAAAGGCTCCTTTTTCTGGCAAAGCAAAGCCATGCAAAGTCTGCAGGTAAAAGACGTTTAACATAATCCCCCCTAATTAACCACTGTTATCTGAGCAGATGCCTCAATTAGTCTTTTTACTTCTCGCTCATCTTCGAAGCATCTTCGCCGTCTTCTCATTTCTAAGGTAGAAATTTTTTCATAACAATCTTTTATTATATTTTACAGTAATTGTAAAGATAATATTCCAGAGATTGTGCAGATATATTACTTGTTTCAATTTAAAGGGAAAAGTAGAGGAAAAATGAATTAGAACACTTTTAATAGAAAAAGGTTTGACAACATCGTATATGCTTTTCATTTGTATATGCGACTACTATTCGGTTTATTTGTAGTAGTTGTGTTAAAATGTTGCGAACTATTAAAGCTCAATCTTTTATAGTTTAAAATGTTTGTATGGTGTGTTTGCACATAAGTCTAATCCAAATCTAAAACACATGATTAGGTTCTTCCTGTAAAAATGAACGCATAGTCTAAGAACATCATGTGGTGTGAAAAGCTTTTAGTTTAGTTTAGATATAATTGGCCGGATCAGGGTTGTTTATTTTCGCACAGCTGACTTTATTAAATACCATTATTGCAGTGGGATATTTTTAGAAATTTATCGGTATGTTTTTTTGTAAACAAGTTTTCATTAAAAACATGACACGAATCTCCTCAGAAAATCCCGATTCAAAATCGGATTATATAAACTAGTAGATAATTTAATGAATAAAAGAAACAATGAAATCAAGGAACAAAGAAATAAATTCAATTATTCAGCAAACCAACAGACTAGTGAATTTCTATGCATCTGATTGGATTTTTACTAAAATATTTCCTTAATCATGTCAGATTTATTCCCTGTAAAAAAACATTGGGTTTCACAGGTTTGCTTCCACGGCGAAGGGAAAAGTTTTGCAATAGAAAATGTGTAAAGCAAAAAATAATAATAAATTTGCAAATTTGGTAATAATATATGAATAAACCAGGTAAACTACAACAGTTTACTTTTCTCCAATAAGGAAAACATAGGCAGTTTCAATTGACAATTTAGGCATAGACATATTTTATTCATGAATTAGGTACAAATGATACAATGTCCATTTCAATCGTCAAATACATTAGCGTAAAATGGTTCAATAAACACAATTATTCGTTTTATCAAGATATATACGATGGTTGTAAATAAGCTCGTTAAATAGTGTAATAGTGTAACTTCGCCCCTGGACATGTAAATTGAAAAGAAAATCTTTCCCTGGTCTAGGTCTCACTATTCCACCTACAACACCTATTACCCTAAAAATTCCCTAAAACCCCGTTTTGACTTCTTCAGATGGACCGACAAGAGACCGACCTAGGATCAGCTGTTCTCATGTTTAACTGGATAGAGTACTTGGTGTTTGGGACGATGTTGTTGCTATCACTGCTGATCGGGGTCTACTTTGGGTGGATCAAAAAGCAGGACACGGTGGCAGAGTATTTGTTGGGTGGGAAAAAGATGGGCGTCTTCCCCGTTACAATATCCCTAGTAGCCAGGTGCGTACCATTGACCCTGTAAGATGATAAACTACCCTTTGTTGAGGTAACTAGAAAATAAGAAATAGGTATATTCAAAGTAAAGATTCGATTGGTTAAACTACAGAGCAAATGATAAATGAAAGTATCAATACAAAGAGTAAATGTTGAGACAAAAAATAAAAGAAGTTAAAACAAACGTAACAAGTATTTTGATTGTACTTTCAATACGATTAGGGCTGTAAAACAATAAAAGCATTTATCCTGTCTGTTATGATATTAAGTAGTAACTTAATATACCCATCAACGATTAAATATTTTGACTGGGTAGAGGAAAAGTTTAATTATGACTTAGTTTTCTACTTTTCCCATAGGATACGTAAACAATGACTAATGGAATGAAGTTTAAAATAGATTTTGATTGTATTTAAATTGCTATGTTTTCCTCATGAAGGTATATTGGATTTGGGGATTTAGGTAGTCAGTCATACTGTAGGCTCTGCTTGTATATTTAGCCACAGATATTTGGATGATTGAAGTTAAATGTTATTAACGAACACATAATTTGCTAAAGTGTGATTGGGATGATGATATGCATATGCAGGTTTTTACTCTATATTATATACGAATATCGAAGGTAACATCAATTTGTGAAAGTGTAACATATATGGTAAACATTAAATCAGATTACCAGTTATTACTTTGTAATCGTTGTTGAATCACTTAAAATAATACAAAGACCATCGACAAATTTGTACTACAAAAGAAAAAAACATGATTTGTTACATTATATTGTAAAACGTTAATCCTTTTTCGAAATGGTTGAGATTCCAATCAGAGCATTTGGGGTTGAACATAATTGAATAGTATTTTCCGTAAATAATGCAGATACATGAAATTAATTAGCACAATAACAAATAGAGCTGTTAAAGCTTTTGCATACTATAATTTTACTGTATACACTTATTATTTTTTTACGTAACGAGATACTTGTTAACGACAAACGAATCTCATCTGTTGGTATCCCTGTATTCTTTACTTCATTACCGATCAGCTGATATGCATTGTTGCATAGCTATACAACAAGGTGTTATTAGGAATTTATTATCAATAAGACTCAATACTATATAATGATGCTCGATACATATCAGCTGATCGGCAAGTAAAGAAAACAGGTATGCCAACATTTCATCTTATTTTGTAATTTTATATGGGATGCGTTAAAAATCCTCTTGTAAATAAATATTTAAATATAAAATATTATGCATATATAAATACAATATTTGCATTTTGTGTTTTACAGCCACATATCAGGTATAACATTGCTTGGCGTGCCATCGGAAGTATACGCCTACGGGACTCAATACGTAGCCATATTCATCACCATTGTATGCGTTTATTTGATAATCTACTATTTGTACCTACCAGTATTCTTCCATCTACAGTTGAACTCAGCCTATGAGGTATGAAGATTAGGCTAACCTTTCTAATAAATTGTTGTATTTTAGCATTGGCTATACACCGAGTAGACTTCCCATCCAATGTAAAAATTTGAAGCCAATGGAATGGATGACATTTAGGACCTTATCACCAGAGGGTACTAGTGTATTGGGTTGAACATTAATCAAAATCCATGCTAACAGCTGATTGATTTATCACCTGACACAGAATATTGTCATTATTTGGTAGACTATCATAACAGATTGCACTACGTTATTTGGCTTCAAGTTTTGTCATTGTATTTATAGTCAATTTAGACAAACATCTTGGTTTAATAAACCAATAATAATCATTAGAAACTCTCAATACTAAAAATATAATCAATGTTATAGTCATAAAAAAATTACTGAATTCTCTATATAGGGTGTAGACCATTACCTCAAAGGTCTCAAAAGTGGAACCTAGACTTGGGACAGTTTTTTTTCGTTTTGACGTCCCAAGAAAACAAAGGCACAATCCGTTCAAATATTAAATTATTATCCTTATACAGCTTATCCACCACAACGTCTTACTATACGACCTATAGCTGAATCCTTCATGAGGAGAACTAAAATAGGGCATACTGTATCTCTAGAGCAAAGAATCAGTATTGCAGAACTTTGTTTACAAATAGCTATACGAAAACCAATTAATACTACACAACTATTCTTTACTCGCATGTATCTAGAAATCAGGTTGATTTGCACACATAAATGAACGTTTTGACTGAAATACTTGACAAACTAATGGTTATCTTGTTTGCAGTATTTGGAGCTCAGATTCAGCAAAGGCACGAGGACTCTAGGATCGTTAATATTTTCCATCTCTCTCGTAAGTTATAACTCTGCTTTGATTTATCTGTTGCAATATACACTTTAACGACCTGATATTTCAACCTTATTAAATTCTGCTTTTTGAGTTACATTTGTATAATTTGTAATTTTATCCTTAAGTGAAATTTAATGAGGAGTTAGTGGTTTGCCATTTTTTTGTTAAACTTAACACGAAAGAGTATATAATTGGATTTTAATTCGGTTTAATTCACCTCTTAAAGAAATTATTGTTTTAAACTCCAAATAATAATGTACTTGTGTATGACTTAATATTTTTAAAAATGTACAAATTTTTTTTTTTTTACATGATAATGAGATTAAATTTAACTCGGCTTAAAAATTAGTTAACGAATAACTGAAATATTTTATTTTATTTAAATAACATAATGTTTACCTATAATTACTATGTTTATCAGTGAAACAATTTAATTTCAGATAATTTTCATTCCTATAGTGATCTACGTTCCTGCATTGGCTTTTAATCAAGGTAAATGTTACCCTTAATGTAACTTTTTTTAAACATAAGGCATTTGAAATCCATACAGCTTAGACAAGAATCAATTAATGGTTTGTAAAATTAAGTTTGCTCATATATTATATTGATTTCTGTTATCTTTTTATATTTGATTCATCAAATATTCACAGTATCTTTCTTTACGCATTTTCTGCTCTTCAGCGTACATTCTGCTCTGCATGAACTTACCAGAATTTAGACTGGTAAGTTAACTTTTGTAAGGTATGTTGTGAAGTACGAAGCATGTTGAGATTTTAAGCTCAAAAGAAGCTTGGTATCTTAACTCTTATGTAAATGTGTTTGCCAAATATTATCATACTTGCTTTACTAGTAGCTTTTTTTGTAAATAATGCGTAATAAAAGAAATTCTTTAAACTTTAACCTTTTCTTTTTACAGTGACTGGAGTTTCTGTTCATCTAATAAGTTTGATCACCAGCCTCATTTGCATCTTTTACACTTTGTTTGTAAGTATGTTACTTTAACCCCCTAACACAAGTAAAATATGTGTCTAGATATGAAATATACCCATACAATGAATGTTATATGTAATGGTTAGTTACTAAACCGAAATAAAGCATTTATGTATTTGGTTCTAATAACACAGCCAAGAAAATGTTCAATAGAGTAAGCAAAATAATTTCTAGTATATCCTTGTATATGGACAGCTAGCTGGTCTAGTGGTTAGAGCGTGGGACTCCGGTTCCTGGGGTCCCAGGTTCAAATCCCGCCAAATCACCAATGGACTTTATCTAAGTGATAATGAAAAACAATTCCGGGCTCGTGCCTAGCGTCCTAGAAAAAAAGTATAATGTGATACATTAACTAACACCTAAAATTTAAGAGTACTGAACTTGAAAGTCTATAATAGTATAAACAAACAATAATTCTCTATGAGCAAAAAAAATTGCGTGATAAAGATGGAAAAGGTACATTGGAAAAACCTTGTTTGAAAAATAAAATGGTAAGAATCAAGTTTTAGGAAACATTACAAGGTACAATGCAGCCACTGTTCAAAGCAAGCTTTATGTTAAAAGTTAATTTATAAGTAGAGGGAGATATTGGATATTGTGAAGTTTTATTAAGCAACGAAATACGACTATAACGGTAAATGACGCTATTCGCAGGGAGGCCTGAAGGCAGTAGTGTGGACTGATACCCTTCAAGGGATGTTTACCCTTACTGCCATGTCTCTGATCCTCATACTTGGCTACTTGAAAATCGGAAGTTTTCACGAAATTTGGAGGATCAACCAGGAAGGATCTCGACTGGAACTGTTCAAGTAAGTTTGAAAAGATTCTTAATAATTGGGAAAGGTGGAGTTAATTAGTTGAAAATAGAGACATGGAAGGCCATTCAATGATTTAGTAAACTAAATCTTTTATTGATAATTCTATGTCTGTAAAATGTGTTATAACAAACTATAGGACTAAATGTTTTCTTATTAATGATTTCCTAATTTTCATATTTTATGAGACAAATTACTGCACCTCGATTATTCTTGGTACTTATAAGTATTTTTTGAAAGTGTTAATATTTAGTTAAATTACATTTAAACAAAATGTAATGCCTAGTGAATGCAAACTCCAATGATGAAATGACCATATATTAAATTGTCATGAGTCTGGTCAGTTGATTTTTACACTGAGTCTAATTGATCAACCACAAAACAAAATTCCGCAGTGCTGGCTGTGTATAATCTGCTTCAGGCATTAATAATTTATTGACCAGATGATTGTTTGGATAAGATTTTGTTTTGTTTTGATCTCGTTTTTTTAAGTAAACAGTATCAGCAAACCAACATATACTGTATCCCATCTCCGAGTATTTTTTTCGAAACCTCTTAAATGGGTAAGTGGTTGGAGTAACTATGGTCACTATTCAATAACTTGTGAACCGTAATTTTTACAGCATTTATGGCTATACAATTTTGTTTAAAGTTAAAAATACATGTACTAAATGTACTAAATTGTCATGACAATCTTTTGAGCCGTTTTTGTGAAAATATAATTTCTGTTATCTTACGGTTTTTTCCATGGGGAAATTACAATTAAAAATCTAATTTTCCACAAGAATAAACGAACTTATAGATATACTATATTTTAGTACCCGCATACCAAATTTCGTATAAACTACAGGTGAAGTCTGTCCATTTGTACACCCCCGCACACACACACTCACACATACATCACTTGGAAAACAACTTTTTAGGGTTCTGGGGGGCAAAAAAACGGACATTTTCACCCAAAACTCATAATCGAAAATATTGTAAAAAATTAACCATTAAAACTATAAAAAATAAACATACTATAGGGCAAAAAATTAAAAAGCTTGTCGTAAAAAGATACTGCGTTGTATCTCGAACTATAGTGCATATAAAAAGGTTCAGTTACATTATTACCATCTGAATACTTTACAATGTTTTAATTCTTACATTTTCTTAGCTTGAATCCGAGCCCATTAGAGCGCAACACTATATGGACGGTGTCTATTGGATCAACATTTGCTTGGTTGTCAAGCATCGGGATCCATCCAGGAGCTTTGCAGAGGTTTATTGCTGTTGCAACCCTCAAAGAGGCAAAGAGGTAAGGTTTCGTAGCGAATGGACTTTGTGGTTGATGAAATGTGGTTTGATTAAAAGGTTGTATGCGCATACATGGTTTATAGTTTAGCCTTTAGTGTGAAAAGAACTCGGCATAAATAAAGTTTTTGTCAGATGTTATAACGCTGTTTTAGGTATTGAATACAACGAATGGGTATGTTTAATCTATGGTAGTATTAAGTATAAGGGATGCAAAATACTATTAATTGGAATTTTATTGGTCTTCTTTTGTTTCTTTAAAGCAGTGTGAGTTGTGACACAAAAAGACAAAGATGTTCCCTTTGCTTTTCATATTTTAAAACTTTGTCCAAGATAATAAAGACTCAAATGGTTTTATGGTTTTATTGGGAGTGTGTTTGATAATCTTAATACCAAATTATATAAATCGACATTTAGTTAGGCATAGCCTTTTTAAAGTAGGGATATCATTGTAATTTCAAAAGTTGTGTACTCGTTTGGAGAATGTTGGTGTCAAATACATCATTACTACAATAATTTCAGTTGCCAATTGGTTTTGAGTTGGTATAATGACCTAGTTGTAGAGTAATATTAACTTTGAGTTCTGAAACCGTGAAAGCAGCAAGTAATTTAAACATGTGCTTAACCCCTGTCATAAAATGTGCTCAAATTTGCTGCAGTGTCATATTCTAGGTTAATTATGCATTTTGTAAAAAAAATATAGCACACATTTTTTTATTACAACATTATTTTTTTTTAAGTTTATTGTTCTCTTATTTTTGAAAATAAGCCAAAACCCAAAAATTCAAAAATTCTGCTTACTGGTGAACAATATCTAAACAAAACCACTAAATGAACAATAGTTTCATATAAAGTTATTATCATCTTCAACTTTATATAGATGGAATGTCTACTTAATTATCCGGCAGTCAATGGTCTAACTTATGCCATGACTTCAAGGGCTGCTAAAAGCTATTATTACAGTAAATTTAGAGTTTCTACAAAGTAATCGCTTGGGTCCGCTGTAATAAAAATGCGAGAAAAATTGAGATAAGAGCGTTACAAAGAACCAAGTAAAAGCGAAGTTTGATACCTGAGTCCTAAGTGAAAGCTGAGCATCTTTACGAAATCAAAGATTTTCACAAACACAAGGAAAATTAATTTTAGGAATGTTGTCTTTGCAGAGTCATAGCTTGGGGCTGTGTGGGATTTGCTGTGGTACAAGCCCTTACCATCCCAATGGGACTTCTACTGTACGCGTACTACCACGACTGTGATCCACTAGCTACAAAGGTATAAGGGTTCTAATCTTGTCCTTGATAAAATACCTATAATGATAAGAGATTTTATATTTTTGAAATACACTTTAAACCATTAAAGTGTCATAGTGTTTATGTGATCAAACCCTTAAAAAAATTAAGGCCATAAAGTGACCAAATTAGATAAAATCAAACCGTCAAAAGGTCAAAAGAGTTAAAACTTGCAAAGGTGTCAAGCCCTTAAACAGATCAAATCCTTGAAAACTATGAAAATTGAAAGTGACCAATCTTTGAAAAATATCGATCCATTATGTAGAGGACGCTCGTTGATATTATAGATTCATGGCAAGAAAAACTATACATAATGGTACGAGGAATTTTGTTAACTTTATATCTATTTGAAAATGTTAATAAAAAATATTTCTACAACTTAATAGAGTTAGTAGCATAATGCTAAATGATATATAAACTATAACGGAAAGTAAATAAAAGAAACGTCTTATAACACTTAAAACATATATTTACATATAGTAAATTCCACGCAATTAGTCCGTATAATCTCAAAAATTGTAGGTGGATGTCGTAGGCAATCTGGTCCAGTTCTTCTTTTTCACAGTAAAGTTGTTTGATCATATTTTTGATGAATAATACCTCTCCTTGTTCCTTTGTTCTTTTAGCGGCAGTGGTGTTACAGTTGACCTTGATTTTAGCGTATTGTGGTGTAATTCTCTTCTTGATACATTCTTTGTTGAAGTAAATATCTGCAATCTTCATGGAAATCTTGATTCTTGTATCCCTATATTTTGCTGCTAACTTTGCTTGACTAGCTTCACTAAATAACTTCTTGATCAGCATTGTACGTGTTATTAAATTTACGGAAAGTAAATAAAAGAAACGTCTTATAACACTTAAAACATATATTTACGCTTATACTGTTACTCACAAGACGGTAAATATACAAAAACGATGGTAAGTGGTGATCGATTTCGATTGGACACTCCAATCATCATCAGACCCAATAGGCGAATGACAAGAATCTTGAATGGCGTCCCTACTTATACCCTATTGGCTACCGGAAGCACCGGCCAATACATTTTTATAAGTACAACTGGAATCAAAATGTATTTGTTCATTAATCAACTTATTCCTATCTTTACATTTTTCCTTATAAATATACAATTCTTCCCAAGCATTCATTACATATCCTTTCTTACAATTCTTTAAAATATCTAGACTATCCTCCATTTTTCCTAGTGAGTGCCCATTTTGTAACAGGTGTTGTGCGACATTTGATCTTTCCGGTTTGTTGTTCCTCCACGCAGATATGTGGTTTTTGAAGCGGTTTACGAAGTTCACAGTCTGTCCAATGTAGAAGCTATCACAATCGTTACAATTGATTTTATAGATGCCCGAAGTGTCAAATTTGTTACAATCTTCTATTTTTGGATGCAGTATTTTACTCATGGTGTTCTGAGTCCTGTAGGCTATTGAAACTCCGTATTTCTTGAATCTGTTAGCAGTCCTTTGTGTTGTAGTCCCCGTGTAGCTAAATGTGATATATCTGGTGCTTTCCTCTTTTATCTCTTCTAATGTTGTTCTGCTGTTTAGTGTATTCTGTCTATCGATTTTTCTCCTCGTCTTCCTTGCGATGTCCTCTATCGTCTTGGTTCGAAATCCATTCACTTGGGCGATCTTCTTAATGGTGTCCAGTTCTTTTTTCCTATTGGCTTGGCTAAGTGGGATCTTATAGGCTCGGTACAGCATAGATCTAAAGGCTGCGGTCTTGTGGATTGTCGGATGGATAGACTTGTTGTTGATTGTAGTGTCCGTTTGCGTAGGTTTCCTGTAGATGTCAAACTCTATCTTGCTGTCTTTTCTCTCTAATGTGAGGTCCAGGAAGTTGATCTTTTTGTTTTCTTCAAACTCGTTGGTAAAGGTGAGGTTTGGGTGGTGGCTGTTTAGTGTCTGCATCATCGTTTCATGCTCCTGCTCCTGGGCTTGTCTGAAGATAACAAGAATGTCGTCTACATATCTAACATACAGTTTTACATCATGATTCTTTCTTAAATTCATTAACATTTCTTTTTCCTGGTGCTGTAAAAATATTTCTGACAAAATTGCCGAAAGTGGACTTCCCATAGCTAAACCATCTGTTTGTTCGTAAAATCTATTGTTAAATCTAAAATAATTTTGCTTCAAAACAGTCACAAGCAATTTTACAATCTGATTGACATATTCATCGTCTAAACTATTCTGCAAAAGCCTACATTTAACAAGATCTACAGTTTCTGATACAGGTATGTTTGTGTACAGATTTGCGATATCAAATGAGACTAGCCTACTATTCGAATCTATATCTATGTTCTTTACACGTTCAACAAATTCATAACTATTCTTTACATTGTATACATATTCTAATTCTAAATCATTGCTGAGCTTACTTGCTAACAATTTTGAAACATTGTAGGTAGGAGCACATTTAAAGTTAACTAATGGTCTGATGGGTACATTCTTCTTGTGTTATTTTGGGATCCCTTTCATCACGGGCGCTTTAGAATTTAGGATGTTCATCTTCTGTCGATATTCTTCGGGAATCACTCTGGTGCATCTCTTCACGACGTCGGACAGCTCTCTTTGGTACCTCTGCGTTGGATCCTTTTTCAGCTCTTTGAAGTTATTTTCTTTGATGAAATCTTCCGTCTTCTTTATATATTCTTCTTTTCCGAGCACTACGATGGCGTTGCTTTTGTCTGCTTTCACAACAATTGAGCTATTCTCTTCCAGCTTCTTCTTTATATTGTTGCATGTCTTCAGTTCTTCATTTCTGCTGGGGTCTATGGGTCCTAGGCTGGTGAAATCGTTGGCTGTCACTTCCTTCCGAACGGCATAATGGTCTACGTCTCTGAGTGATTTTACATTTGCTTCGACTTCAGTAGCTAGTAGTTCATTTTCGTCCTTCTTCTTCATTGGGAAATTGTACTTCATTCCGTAGTTCAGTATTTTCGTTTCTTCTTCACTGAATTGAATGTCTGTAAGGTTGATGACTCTCTTCTGGAATTTGTGTTCTGTATTGGTCCTATCCAAGTCTTCATTAGGTGTATTCTTCTCTACGAGTTTGTCTAATTTGTCGTTTATCCGTAAATATTTCCGGTCCATGGCGTCTTCAACCTCTTCACTGACGACTTCGTGTAGTAAATTCCACGCAATTAGTCCGTATAATCTCAAAAATTGTAGGTGGATGTCGTAGGCAATCTGGTTCAGTTCTTCTTTTTCACAGTAAAGTTGTTTGATCATATTTTTGATGAATAATACCTCTCCTTGTACCTTTGTTCTTTTAGCGGCAGTGGTGTTACAGTTGACCTTGATTTTAGCGTATTGTGGTGTAATTCTCTTCTTGATACATTCTTTGTTGAAGTAAATATCTGCAATCTTCATGGAAATCTTGATTCTTGTATCCCTATATTTTGCTGCTAACTTTGCTTGACTAGCTTCACTAAATAACTTCTTGATCAGCATTGTACGTGTTATTAAATTTACGGAAAGTAAATAAAAGAAACGTCTTATAACACTTAAAACATATATTTACGCTTATACTGTTACTCACAAGACGGTAAATATACAAAAACGATGGTAAGTGGTGATCGATTTCGATTGGACACTCCAATCATCATCAGACCCAATAGGCGAATGACAAGAATCTTGAATGGCGTCCCTACTTATACCCTATTGGCTACCGGAAGCACCGGCCAATACATTTTTATAAGTACAACTGGAATCAAAATGTATTTGTTCATTAATCAACTTATTCCTATCTTTACATTTTTCCTTATAAATATACAATTCTTCCCAAGCATTCATTACATATCCTTTCTTACAATTCTTTAAAATATCTAGACTATCCTCCATTTTTCCTAGTGAGTGCCCATTTTGTAACAGGTGTTGTGCGACATTTGATCTTTCCGGTTTGTTGTTCCTCCACGCAGATATGTGGTTTTTGAAGCGGTTTACGAAGTTCACAGTCTGTCCAATGTAGAAGCTATCACAATCGTTACAATTGATTTTATAGATGCCCGAAGTGTCAAATTTGTTACAATCTTCTATTTTTGGATGCAGTATTTTACTCATGGTGTTCTGAGTCCTGTAGGCTATTGAAACTCCGTATTTCTTGAATCTGTTAGCAGTCCTTTGTGTTGTAGTCCCCGTGTAGCTAAATGTGATATATCTGGTGCTTTCCTCTTTTATCTCTTCTAATGTTGTTCTGCTGTTTAGTGTATTCTGTCTATCGATTTTTCTCCTCGTCTTCCTTGCGATGTCCTCTATCGTCTTGGTTCGAAATCCATTCACTTGGGCGATCTTCTTAATGGTGTCCAGTTCTTTTTTCCTATTGGCTTGGCTAAGTGGGATCTTATAGGCTCGGTACAGCATAGATCTAAAGGCTGCGGTCTTGTGGATTGTCGGATGGATAGACTTGTTGTTGATTGTAGTGTCCGTTTGCGTAGGTTTCCTGTAGATGTCAAACTCTATCTTGCTGTCTTTTCTCTCTAATGTGAGGTCCAGGAAGTTGATCTTTTTGTTTTCTTCAAACTCGTTGGTAAAGGTGAGGTTTGGGTGGTGGCTGTTTAGTGTCTGCATCATCGTTTCATGCTCCTGCTCCTGGGCTTGTCTGAAGATAACAAGAATGTCGTCTACATATCTAACATACAGTTTTACATCATGATTCTTTCTTAAATTCATTAACATTTCTTTTTCCTGGTGCTGTAAAAATATTTCTGACAAAATTGCCGAAAGTGGACTTCCCATAGCTAAACCATCTGTTTGTTCGTAAAATCTATTGTTAAATCTAAAATAATTTTGCTTCAAAACAGTCACAAGCAATTTTACAATCTGATTGACATATTCATCGTCTAAACTATTCTGCAAAAGCCTACATTTAACAAGATCTACAGTTTCTGATACAGGTATGTTTGTGTACAGATTTGCGATATCAAATGAGACTAGCCTACTATTCGAATCTATATCTATGTTCTTTACACGTTCAACAAATTCATAACTATTCTTTACATTGTATACATATTCTAATTCTAAATCATTGCTGAGCTTACTTGCTAACAATTTTGAAACATTGTAGGTAGGAGCACATTTAAAGTTAACTAATGGTCTTATGGGTACATTCTTCTTGCAATCGAAATCGATCACCACTTACCATCGTTTTTGTATATTTACCGTCTTGTGAGTAACAGTATAAGCGTAAATATATGTTTTAAGTGTTATAAGACGTTTCTTTTATTTACTTTCCGTAAATTTAATAACACGTACAATGCTGATCAAGAAGTTATAAACTATAAGTAAAATCTGAATTAATAAAATTTAAATTAATGTAAAACGGCCTGTTTATTTGGTAAATGCTCTCATAACTAAAAATGTCCTTCAAATGCAGAATAGCTTACTATTAGTATAATAGTAGTATGAAAATATAATACACCGGTAAAAAGATAAACATTCATATAAAAGGACTATCTTTGAAATAAGTAAACATGTTCGAAGGCAACAAAAAATAATATTTTGATTACTAATTATAATAAATAAAATATATGTATACGCCATGTAAATGATGTGATTCCATGTTTATTTAGATGATACGGAAGACCAGCCAGATCCTGCCGTACTATGTGATGGACGTAGCCAGGGACTTCCCGGGTTTAACAGGACTATTCATATCTGGAGTGCTCAGTGCTGCTCTCAGGTCAGTCTACATTACTTACCTATAGTCAAAATTATGAAACCTGACTCCTTTCCCTTCGTCTACCTAGTACTGACCTACACTGTACGGCTAAAGGGTATATTTAGCGTCAAGCTCAATTTTCATACATATTATCTGATTTGATATTTTTCAAAGAGGTTTGTGGCCTCTTTTAACCTTTCATCTGTCGTTATTCCACATAGGCTACGTACAAATGCGTATAACGTATCCAGCAAAGCAAGGAGTGAGCTGGCACAGTAAGGGTGAAATGTACTGATAGGAAAAAGTATTGACACTTTAAGGCTCGAAGTCCGTGTCGCTACCGACTAAGACAATGACTCACCTAACATACTGATAAACCCAAACATTCTTTACACTCAACCGAAATTGTCTATTAGACATTCATGACGTACAAACTTTTTTGTTCACTGAATTAATTTATCATAACAAGTGTTGTTTTGTCCTCAGCACGATGTCCGCTGGTCTCAACACAGTAGCTGGTACGCTGTATGAGGACTTTGTCCAGTTTGTGTTGAAGGGAGAGAAGTTGTCTGAGGCATCTTAGTCCCTCATACTCAAGGTCATTGTGTTGATGCTTGGCCTGGTCTGTAATCAACCAAACTACAAGTGTTGTTTTTGTCTTCAGCACGATGTCCGCTGGTCTCAACACAGTAGCTGGTACGCTGTACGAGGACTTTGTCCAGTTTGTGCTAAAGGGAGAGAAGTTGTCTGAGGCCTCTCAGTCCCTCATACTCAAGGTCATGTTCTGGTGCTGGGTCTGGTCTGTGATCAACCAAACTACAAGTGTTGTTTTGTCCTCAGCACGATGTCCGCTGGTCTCAACACAGTAGCTGGTACGCTGTACGAGGACTTTGTCCAGTTTGTGTTGAGGGGAGAGAAGTTGTCTGAGGCCTCTCAGTCCCTCATACTCAAGGTCATTGTGTTGGTCTGGTCTGTGATCAGCCAAACTACAAGTGTTGTTTTGTCCTCAGCACGATGTCCGCTGGTCTCAACACAGTAGCTGGTACGCTGTACGAGGACTTTGTCCAGTTTGTGTTGAGGGGAGAGAAGTTGTCTGAGGCCTCTCAGTCCCTCATACTCAAGGTCATTGTGTTGGCCTGGTCTGTGATCAGCCAAACTACAAGTGTTGTTTTGTCCTCAGCACGATGTCCGCTGGTCTCAACACAGTAGCTGGTACGCTGTACGAGGACTTTGTCCAGTTTGTGTTGAGGGGAGAGAAGTTGTCTGAGGCCTCTCAGTCCCTCATACTCAAGGTCATTGTGTTGGCCTGGTCTGTGATCAGCCAAACTACAAGTGTTGTTTTGTCCTCAGCACGATGTCCGCTGGTCTCAACACGGTAGCTGGTACGCTGTACGAGGACTTTGTCCAGTTTGTGTTGAAGGGAGAGAAGTTGTCTGAGGCCTCTCAGTCCCTCATACTCAAGGTCATTGTGCTGGTGCTGGGTCTGCTCTGTGTGGCGCTGGTCTTCATTGTGGAGAAACTCGGAGCTCTCTTTCAGGTACCTGTGATGATGATACATACTGATAAGAATGAAATAGGGTAACATAACATATTTGGAGAAAATGAAACTTTCTGGGAGAAATTATGTCCTGTTTGTAATATAAATTGTTCAATGTTACATTAATAATTCCAATAAAATTACTTAAATAAATTAACATCCCTAAACAACAAAAAATAACGTAAAAGTATCAGCAAACCGACAAATAATTTATTTTGTTAGCTTGTCAACTACTCTCAAAATGGATAAGCGGATGAGAGTGACTGACCTTTTTTTTGAGTAAAATCAAAACACGTAAAATAACTTTTGAATTGTAAATGTAAACGGATTGGGAACAGTTTTTGTTAAAATTCAATAATTTGTAATTTTATGAGAAAAACAGTTTAGTAACGAAAAAACCGTAGAAATACCATAGATTAGTTCCCACAAGCCAAATTTTATAAAAATCAGGCTATTCATACAACCTCAGGATCCAATTGTCGATGCTACCGGTGTAGTCTGCAGCTTTGTACACATTCATAAACTCACATGAATTACTTTGAAAACAGTTTTTTTATTAAAGGGGGCCCAAAACTAAAACTAAATATGATATGGACTGGGGGTGTAAGTAAAAATAGAAGAAAAGTTTATGCTTTAAGTAAACGTAAAACTGTTTAATACTTTACGTAATCCATCAGGAAACGATTTACTCTTACCCATGTTGAAGTAATTAATCTCAATAAATCCCGCCAATTGCCTCTTTCCAATTTCCTGCCAAGCATTTCACCAATATCCAGCCATCAATCACCTTAAGATTCGAAATCCTTAATGATTTCTCATAATTTAATTTTCTTAGCGTTGTGAGCCAATTTATTTCACACGGAGTGAGAGAAAAACTGGATAAGTATTTTTAGAACCTAGCTTTGTATAACTCATAAACTTCTGACGTAATGATTCTTTTAAAAAATCTTCAGAGTACTTGTTAAAAACTTCTTCACTTAAAAAAAAAATGAAAAACCTGAACTTACTAATGCATTTCATATTAGAAACTGCAGATTATGCAGTACTTAGACAATCTAGTATAATTTTAGATTAGTATAGTTATTAAAATCATTTAAAACTAATTTAAGAATAGTTTTTATAATGATCATAATATTTCGATTTAAATCGACTGTTGGTATGTTATTATACAGCTTTGTTAGTTTTAATATGCTATTTTTTTTTTTATTTCAGATGGCGATCAGTTTACAAGGCATTTCAACTGGAGCACTTCTTGGACTGTTCAGTTTAGGCCTTCTTTTCCCACGTGCAAATGCCAAGGTAATCTTTTCAAACTGTTTTATAAGACGAGTAAGTGATTTAGTGAAACTAAATTAACAAAATGTCTTTGATAAACACGCTGCGTATGTCAATTGGATCGTGGAAAATTAAGGGGTTTCGTATCAGTAGCAATCTTTATGGATGCTGTAACTATAAAAAAAAGGAAGTGTGAGCCTTTTGGTTGGAATCATGTCATGTATTGGTGATAGAAAAAAAGCTTGAACGAGTTTCACTCCTCTCTCTTCCTTTTAGGAAAAGATTTACTGAAATCTTTATAGTCTGTATGATGGTACCTGTCTCCTGATCCTTCATCTACCTGAAGCTGGCCCTGACCTTAAACCATTGATCAATTCCCAGTTAGACGGAAGGAGACAGGATAAGGAGACAAGTTCTTTCATACAGAGTATAGAGAGTATGGAATTGATCGTTTGGCATGTATTTTGTTGAGAAACAGGGAGCGGTTGCTGGGGCATTGAGTAGCCTACTAGGAATGGCTGTCATCATCGTTGGAGCTCAATGGTACATAATGGAGAAACAACTACGGTTCCCTGGTAAGGTGACCAGTGTGGATGGATGTCCGGAAGATCTCATCGCTTCTTTAGGATTCAAGTAAGTGTATCAACGTGTTGCGCAGAAAAAATGGTTTGTAGTATGTACAACCTCGATAACAAGACTCTCATGGGGATTATTACATTAGACTTGTTATCAAGTTTGACTTCTTATTGAGGTTTGTAATAACATATGATTATGGGTAAAATAAGTTCAAGGGGATTTGAAAATTACACTTGTTATCAAGGGTGACTTGTTATCGAGGGTCTTCTTATCGAGGTTCGTAGTAAGTTTGTGCTATGAACTTTCTACAGACAATTTCAAATATCGTATTCAATGCTCTTATTATGTCCAGAGTGAAAGGGACTTTCGGTAAAAAAATAGAAAAAAATCTAAACATAATGGCCATTCTTGAACTATTAATACAATAGACATTCCATCCCCATGTTAAATTTGTCCCAATCTTTTAAATGAAAATTGTCATAGTTAATGTGGGCCACTAATAGATTGTGCTGATGTATGAGTTCTGTCAAATATGTGCACTTTTTACCAAGTCAAAACGATGGAACGACTAATTGTGACCTATCAACTATGTTAGCAACCAAAAATTGTGTAGAATAATATAGAATTTTTGACTCTAGCACTTTCCGAAACAATAATATTTTTTATAAAAAAAATGGACGACAACTAGTCCATATTGGTGGGATATCTTCTTCAATATATAACAAGTCAATGCTAAAACTCAACCTAATCTAGAATACCTAAGTTTGCATATACAGGTTTATACATTCTACGGTGCTATGGTAGCCAGGACTTTAATTTTGACTCACAAACCAATGTCAGGGTAAAATAAGATTTTGAATATATTTACCAACCACACTTTTCATACTTCACAATACTCAAATAAAGTTTCTTTTTCAGTGCTTCAGCCAATGCACAGACATGGACCGGATTGGGAACTCCGGTAGAGGCAGATGATTCAGTACCTATCATCTTCAAGATCTCCTACATGTACTATTGCATGGTCGGGACGCTGATAGTGATCGTAGTTGGTCTCTTGGTCTCTTATCTGACTACTCCCCAGGATCTCTTATCTCTGGACCCGAATCTCTTCTCACCCCCTGTACGAAGATTCCTCCCCCAGAGACGGAGAGAGACTGTCAAACCAGCCAAAGAGGAGTATACTCTTGTCAACACAGATCCAGCGGGGAAAGATGGCCAATATGTACACGAAAGTCAAAATATCGGAGCATAAAATAAATTATACTTTATAGATTGTTGTTACATTATTTGTAATATCCCTACTCAGTAGGCCTAGGGGGAGCGAGCTGGTCTAGTGGTTAGTGCGCAGGACTCCGGTTCCTGGGGTCCCGGGTTCAAATCCCACCAAATCACAAATTGATTTTATCTAAGTGATAATGCCGTAACCCCTAGGTCTACCCTGAAGTAATGTGAAAAAATTCCGGACTCATGCCTAGCGTCATAGGAAAAAAGAAACTCAATAGGCCTAAGTGGAGTATAAATTAGTAGTTACTGTGAAGGAGGAGAAACATAACTGTATTACTATTAGAGTATCAGAGCATGCATTAAGGAAGCATTAATTGTTATAACATAACAAATGATTTGAAAGTGAGTTTAAATTAAGAATTCGGGTATGAAACATAAGAATTCAGATATGCCATTAAACATTTTCGCCAATGATTTTAACTAACAATTTTCAGCTTCAACACAAAACCATCAGGCAAAAATTAAATTAAGAAATCCCTTACTGATTGTTTTGTATGAATATTACTTATACTATTGACTTTTGGATACTCTTTTCCAGGTTTTATGCCAATTACATTTTATAGCGGAAGTATTTAGGATAATCCACAAATTAATGCGTTTAGGGAAAGTTTTCCAAACCCATATTTTTGTGGCAATAACGAGAATCGAACCCGTCTGAGACGCCACCCACTAGCCTAGCAACACACATTGCATACAAATAAGCATGAGATCAATGGACCAGCTCTAGTCAATTGTCTTATTCAAATAGAAACTAATTGAATTATTCACCCAAAAAGTGTGATATTGTCTAAGTATAAATTATATTTTCTCTATAAGCTTTTGTTACCATAAAAGTTGATGTGGCATAACAGATTATGCTTATAAAAAGGTTCATGTTGTATGTTGTTTTTTCTTATAAAAAGGCAAGTTGGAGCATTCTACTGAAATTAATTATTGACAACAGCGTGCTATGTCATAGACTTAATACAACTTCGTTAATTGGTATTATGAAAATAGCAAAAGCTTTAACATTGGAATGGAATTTTTATTTCTACATTTTATTTTTTTGTACTATGCTACGGCACTTCTCCATGTCGCCCAATGTTCTATGACTACAAATAATGGCAGATGTAGTGTAGGCTTTCCAACGAGCCTAACCCCACCACCCTTAGACGACCTGTCGCTGTACTGTGTGCTGAAAAAACCGATTACTTCGCCACACCCTGTATTTACAGTATAAAACCTAAAACCCTATAGTGGCTCATATGTGAGCAAATGGCGATCTCTTATGACAGAGAAATAAATCCGTTTATGAAATTAATTTAAAGTTTCAATCTTAATTGTGTGTTAAAAATAAATGTTTCTTCAAGTGAAATTTTAACTGTTATGCAATAAACGATTTTATAAAATTAAATGAACGTCATGAATCGTCAATTACAGTTTACAGCTCCTATTGCTCCATACTCAATTTACCTGGCTGCCTTTGAAGGCGGAGTACTTGTTAGATAGTAAATGGTTCCCAAATGACGCTGGACAATCAATTCAGAGTGGTCAAACGGTCAGACAGATTATCAACATCAAAGAGATGACGACATCGACAGTCCTATTGGCATTGCGATTGGTGATTGCCGATTACTGATTACCACTGGGGCCGTTGTTACAACTGATTGCTTTGTACAGGTTTAATTGCCAGTGTTACCAAAAAACAATGCCATACTGCTGGTATGTTTTATAACTTATATTTTTCAGTAATTCATTTAATACGTGATACACTTCAATATTGACGGTCACTTACTGTTATGTACTTTTTCTTATTCTTAGAATGTTTATTCACTAATAGAAAGTACATTTATGTCGATAAAGACAGTTAATTTTTTAATACTTCAATTTAGATGGTATAATAAGCCATCCTGTTGGATAATTTAAGGAGATATAAATAATACAACTTATACAAATTGTTTATGTTATGTTAGCTTAGATATTCTTCCGGTAAGCTCAAATGAGTTCTTTTAAAGAAATACAGTTAGTTCTTATATTGGATGTAATTTAAGATTTAATTATGAAAATGCTGTTTTACACAGTTCATCAAGCTAATGTACAAAGAGTAAATTCTTTTGATAAACTAAAATTATTTTGCAAGAGGAAAACGTTTAAATGGATAAGTTAATATTCTATGGGCGTTCTTTGTTGACGTTTCTACAAAGCTTCTTGACGTTAAACTGCTCACCCAAAAAGGATTACTGCGAAAGAGGTAAAAAGAAAAATTTTATATTAAACATAAAAACTCACCTTCCTTTAAAATTTGTATAACCTTTGTGCAATTGTAATGTGAAATGGCTCAACATGTTGGTTAAACAATGTAATATATGAAAGGATTAGTCCATAAACACATCGTATAAAATATTGTTTTTTATTTATTAGTTTATTATCGTTCAGCGCAGTATTTCCTTCTTTTTCTCTAGGGACTAAGAATGCTACTTTAGACCCACAACGAATGTACTGTATAGAAAACGGCTGTTTTTGCTGCAGTATGATGCCATTTATTTAACAATAATTAATATATTATAGATATATATTTAGATTAATATTTACACAATCCATTTATTTAATTTTTTGATAAACAATAATTATTTTCCCAAACTGTTTTACGCAGCTTTATAGGTATCCTTATAATTCCTCAGATTTGGTAATCAAACGCAAGGATCAACTTAAAAGCTAAAAACTTCGAGAAAATCCCATTTATCTTAATAAACTTCTTATTTCTGGAAATCAGTTGCAAAATCTGACAATTGGTAAAACTTCTCCGAACTTTGTTCTATTTTGTTGATGGGAAAATGAGACGTATTTTTAACCCTTAAATTGATACTGTATTGGGAAATTATAAAAATCACTAATACCACCTGGCACGGCTTTGCTCACAATAGTGTAAACTAAAGAGCGAAATATTCTATACGTTAGGAAAAAAACATTACAAATATGATCTGATATTAAAATGTTTTTTTGTAAAACCACATATTCTCTGTGGTACAATTCATTATAGGCACGAAAGTTGGACAACATATGAGACTGCTGAAGTTAAGCTATGGGAGGAATTCTTCATTTTAAAATATTAACTGCCTTTCACAAAGATCTTCAGACTACTCATTCACAAAAAACCTCTACATCTTTTGAACAGAATTACTATTCCCGCTGTTCTTTCACTTATCTTTGACTAACTATGAGAAACATTTAAGCAGCTTAACGTTGAATCAAAATATGTACTCAGGCTGTTTTGTAGAACAAAACAGCAGTAGTTACAATTGGTAACATGAATTTTATCAAGGTACTTAAAATTTCATTTGTTATTTCCAACTATCCAAATTGGCTATATTGTCTAATACAAATTTAAATAGAAAAACAGTACTGGGACGTTAAAATAAATATACTCATGACACGTTCATAGGATTTATTTCCACACATCTCACTCTGGCTTATCTATATCGCATTTCGGAGGTATTTCATCGTCAACTACTTTTGTGTTGACTTCAGGGTAGTTGATGAGTGTGAACTCCTCAGCTACCGTGACTGTTGAAGGAGGAAGCCACCTGTGTACCAGAGGTGAGAACAGTCGCCTGTCATGGGTGAACTTGGGTGTCTGGGTGTCCTGGGTGGAGGGTGACTCGGGAGTTTGGGTGAGCAGGGATACCACAAGGCCGACAAATACACCCACCACTGTTCCGATGAGATTGTAGTACATATGGGAGACTTGGTAGATCAGCGGAACTCCTTCTGCGACTACAGGGCATCCAGGTCCTTGATACGTTTCAAGTCTTGAAAGTACTCTGGACATGTGTAATGATGTTATTGATTTTAATTGTTGTACTAAATACGAATAGCTTCTGGGAATTCAAAAGAGGAATTCCCTGGATCAGTCTTCTTACTGAGGATGGATTTCAGGCAGTAAGTTACTGACTTACAAGCATTACTTAGGAGATACTAACTTGACTCCACAACTTGAAGCACTGCTAACAGATATTACAGCTGGATTGGACTTTGTAACTAAATGAATGATATTTCTGCATACTGTTTACCCTTTGTAATGAGAACTTTAAAAGTTGCAAGAGCTATTTGTTATTTGATAAAATAACAAAAATTGGGAAGGTGCCACCACGTTTCCAGGGCTAAAATCTAATAATTACTTGTCTTTTACTAAAAATAATTGAAAATGTATTCAATTATCCCTAAAACAACACAAAACTAACATCACAAAACATTTACTTCAAACAATGCTACTTAAAAATAAACATGTTCACAAGTGGTTTATATACATGTCGTTCACATCTGGCACCTTCTCATGAATACGTGAAATCCAAGGTGATGAATATAATGTTAAGCAAAAATAAGTTATAGAAGCACAACTTCCAAAACAAGCACAAACATGCAAAACAAAATTGGACAATTCTATATTCAACATATCTTTGTACCTTTTCTTCCATATATTAGAAAAGTGACATTCCGTTATAAAAAAGTCGTTTTTACTATTAAAGTAAATGGAAAAGCAAAATAACAAGATTTTGAGTAACTTACTCAGGAGACGTGAAGTTATCGGGACACATATCTATGCGAGTAATTTTCGCTCGATGCTTCAGTTGGCCTGTGGTTATATAAAAGTAGGCATTTCCTATTATCCACGTCATCGTTACCAGACTTGTTATGGCACCTGCCATCGCACCCTGCAAGTTCAATAATTATATTCTATAATAAAAGTCTACAAAATATTTATACAATGCTAAATATGTTTCTATTCTAAATAGTGACCATCAAAGTTAGTGCCATTGTCAGCCACATTAATTTTGACTTTAGCCCCAGAAGTACAGCAATTGTACTTTGAAACTAAAATTGCTGACATAGGTTCATAATAAAATTCTGATTCCAAAGGTAATCTTAGTGTACTATGTACTATGTTTCAACGTTATAATGCTTGTTTGCATAAGAAAAAAAAGAATTATTCTACTAAAAATTAAATAATGATAATTATAATTATAAAATAATATTATGTTGCCTAAATTAATTTATCCTTAACGCGTAGGATCAGGATATTCAAAACAAGATCTTGAACTAACTATAGCATACATGAGAAACGTGTGTAATAATAACACATTACCTTAGAATTTGCTTTTGGAACAAAGATTCCTAGAAAGAATAAAGTAAACAATGCTCCTCCTGTAATCCCACCAAGACTCATTGACAGCTGAAAAATATAAGTAAAATAATAATAACCATACTTAATCTCGAAATTTAATCTACAATGAACTTGTCATACTTTAATGAAATAATAAAAAAGAAACTGTGCAAGTAACAAGTTCTTTAATTTAAGTTTGGTAACGCCAAAGGCCAAATCTTGTGACAAATTTAAACTATTTGATTTCTTTATCTTCTTGATGCTTATGTTCTTATTACTTTGTTAATGTTACAATTATATAGCTACCATGAGTCTATAAAATATAATCCTAAATAGTTAACCTCAATTACAGTTTTAGTAGGCCTACCTTGGGACCGAGCCATGCCTCGGTATAGGTCTATTTTATTTTAATTGAACCCCTATGTCGAGTAATCTTCAGTGTAGTCTTTACTCAATAATAACATAGACTAACCAACACAAGGGAGTGTGTTTTATCAATGATAATAACAACTGATATTGCCCATTTATACTGTATTTGTAATTTGCTAGATTGCTGTGGAGTGTGGATGGCTTGATAAAAACACATGTTACAAGTATTTTGTATTTTTTTTACCAACATGGTTACTTAACAATCCATAGGGCCAATAAAAAAATGTTTATTTTAAATTCAATTTTCTTTACGTAATTAGATGTTTGTTGGCAGTTTTAACTGCGATAAACATCTTTTTTGGCCAGATATAAATTATTTACAACATTTGAAGGAAATCGTCGAAGCCGTTTTCGAAAACTTTGTCCAAGCATAATACAGGGTGGGGCAGAGTGGACTCCCTGATTTGATCGGTTAACTGTATAAAAACCATACCAGATTATTACAAAAGCTTTTTATTTCTGAAATCTAAATACAATGCCATTTATTTTTCATTAAGTTTTAAAAATGATATCTTCCAGGTGAAGACCTTCACGAGCGATGCACATATTCAGCCGTTCAATGAAGTTTTCAAAAACTCTACGCAGCAAATCTGGCATTATTCCAGTGATAACATCAACAATTGCTTCCTTAATGGCTTCCAAGGTCCTTGGTCGAACTTTGTAAACCTCAGTTGCAGATCCGGTCGCCCGTACACTTGTAATCCATTTCCTTAAGGTTTTAGCATCGGGAACACTATCATGACAATTCAAACCAAACCGTCTACGAAATGCACGCTGGGTCGCCACCACACTATCCTCTACAAAACCACGATGCTAGCCAGTTTGCACGATTTTTATTTCAGCTGCAGTTTTTTAATACGGACAAAATGAGAGTTTAGAAATTAGAAATAAAAAAATATTATAAAACAAAAAAAATGTAAAACTAATTTTTAATAATAAAATTAAAATGGTATAACCTAACCTAACTAACCAAACTTGCTGATTCTGAAAAAAATTGAATGAAGGTTTACTTATAAAAAAAAAATAGTTCTGTTCATAAAATAAAACTATAAATGCCTCAAATTCAATTTAAAATTTTTTTAATTAGAAAATTAAACTGTCATAACCTAACCAAGCTTGCTGATAATGCAAAAATCTTAGATAAGATAGATCTTAGAACCTGGTACAAAAAAAACCTGTTGCTTCTCAGCACAGCACTATATCCATTAGACCACCGAGGCCAATGGCTACAAGCCGTATCGTTGCGGTAATGGTGTTCCCTCAGCCAATAGAATGCTCTCATTTTGACCGTATTAAAAATACTGCAGCTGAAATAAAAATTCAGCCGCCAGTTTACGGCATGGTGACTACTAACAATGGCGTCTTTCCCCCCACCACATGAAACCTCTCCCACTCCGCTAACTCGCGCGCACGCTCTTCAGCGACTGATTGAAACTATGGAGTCCACTCTGCCCTACCCTTTACAAGCAAACATTGATAAGAGTTTGGATAATTTACTAATTTAGGAGGGAAAATCACCACAGCATACTCATTGTCTTGGGTCTAGAAAAATAAAAAATAACAATTCCGTTACATGTGACCATTGTGAACACTTTAATAGCACTACGATGACTCTTAGTCAGTTGTTGTGTAAAAAGAAATATACAAAAATCAAAACAAATAATACATTAGCACAGAAATAGCTGTGTCATAATTTATTAAATAAACAATGATGACATGCTGAGCAATACATTCTGTAATATGTTGCACAAATCTTGCAAATCTTGCCCAACAAAACCAAAATCTAATATAAAATTTGAGGAATGCCATTAGAAATATCTTAGTTAGACGTATCAAAGAAGTTAATTTTTTTTTTTAATTAACCAGAGAAATTAAACTTTTGCATGCAGCAAAATGTTTTTTTACCTGAAAGATACTGTCTGTCTTTTCGACTAGAAGGACCAAAGAGGTACATAGAACACCAAGCAGGAGAGAAATACATTTCATCACGTAAGACTGTGTGACATCTGATAGTTTGTGTCCTCTGAAGCAAAACTCCACCAAGTCTTCGTAAATGGAGCCAGTCATGGTGTTGAGAGAAGAAGACATTGAACTGTGTCGTCAAATATAATTTATGAATTTTAGCTATTACTACTTAATATAACTTACTGGTCCATGTGATATGGTTTTTTTTTTCTACGCCAGTGGCATTTCACAAGAGAAGTTACGAGAGATCAAAGTCGAGAGTTAAGGTTTATTCGAACATCGATTTAGCAAATTTTCATCAAAGCTGTAGATATTGCTAATAGTTCACATTTTACACTATTGTATTCACAATTGCGTTTATTCATGTTAGAAAATGATTCCACCATTTATTTGTCAAACAGGGTAAAAATGGAAAAAGAATGTAACAAAAAACTAATATGAGAAATACTATTTGATAAAATGTTATAAGATTTGCATGTTTTTATGGTGACAACGAATTTGAAGAAAATAGGAGGGTTTGAACTTGTCCATTTCAAAAGAACGATCTAGAATATGAGTCATATAAATCTATTAAAATGTATATTAGATGTAAAGTACTCATTGAACTTGATAAAAATGCTATCCTAAAATTAAATTGTAAATTCAGGATATGAAGGTCTCTTTGAAGGTTCTATTTATATCCACTATACAGTTTTTACACACTTAATTTTACTTATTGATGTCATGAAGTGTAGTTATAAACCTTCGAAAATGTTGTCAAATTAATATTGGAATCTACCTGGAATTTTTTTACGTTTATTTATAGTACTAATGAAGTTCATTTATTATATCTTTCTGTCTCATCATTAGCCCTATTTGTAAATCTTACTGGATATTTTTGTACCTCAATGCAGCACTGAGAACACCAGAGACAAACAGTCCTGCAAGCCCAGGATATCCTTTGGTCACCTCCATCACAAACAATGGGACCAGCTGGCCAGTCTTCTTGACTTCCTGGGGAAATAGAACCAAGTATTTAAACTCAAAACTATGCTGGGAACATTTTATTCAATTGAACATTGATGCAGGTAAGTAAGTTTAGTTAAACAGTTTGATGATAGTTTAGGACGCAATTAGTTTTTATTGTACAAGTGCCTATCTGTGTCAGACGGACATGTTTTAATTACTTTCCAAAACATTTCTTGAATTTTTGTGAAAGAATATAGTTATTTAGATAAACCCTGAATACAGTTGAATTTCAATGAATATTTCATTAAATGTAAAACTTTAAAGGTAATTTGTTGTGCTTACAAATTATGTTACTTATTAATAGCTGAAATAAAAATAAAATCATTGAATGGGCATTGCTTTTAAGATAACTTACCCCAGTAGCAATTGGGTCACAGCCGTAGTATCTGGCGTACAAAATCATCCCCAAGTATATTACCAACCCGTGAACGAAGAATACTCCAAACGACGTCCATAGCAATACTCTGTAAAAGGACATAGGTGAATCATTAAAGAAATTGATATCGATATTATAATTATTAGTTAACGTTTATTTCATGATCACATAAAGAAATTTATCAACGAGCTCAGTGAGTTACTAAGTATTTACGTATTTTACCCATATTAAATGTTTAGGTGTAAGTTAAAACATCTTACAACTATCATAAAACCATTTTATGTTTAAATGCTATACCACAACACAATACTACAAACACAACATTGTTGGGTTGGGTTAGGTTAGGTTATAGGTTAAGTCAGGCCAGCTTTGACCAAACCTAACATATATAATAAAACGTTGGGGGAGAGGGCTATATACAATCCACCCCTTTCATTTCTGAATATGACGTAACTCATAAGCCGGAGTGGTATTTGAAGATAGTACCTCTAAACGCGCCATTTCATCTTTCAACCACGTCAGCCTTTATATCAGTGTAAGTAAAAGTACATACCTCTTGGCTTTGCTGAGTGTGGGCACCGAGAGACATCTTTGCACCGCTCCAGGATGAACCGCCAAGTTGCACATCCAATTCATCATGTTGCCTATGAGAATTGTCCAAAAGGAACTTCTTACAAAAGGGGAAAGCTCCATGCTGAGGAAACAAGATGGACAAACCTTTAATATATTTAATAAACATTTGATTCTTAGTGTTTTCGTTGCTACAAGAAAGTAAAATCAAATGGAAACATGCTATGTTTCTATCTGTGACAAGAAAGAAATATCTTTAATGATAATAGAAAAATTCAGAGCCAATAACCTGTTTCAACAATAAAATAATCTCTAGAATAAGTTATATTATTATGGTTGAGGAAGTGCGTTGAAAAAAATTAATCTGCTAAAAATGAAAAAAGTACGTTGTTGTAAAATTCTATAAAATAGTCCATTGTTTAAGTCAGAAAAGTTAAACTTACTGCAAATGCAATTTTAATAGCTTTTTTAAGGACCTTGATTCCTTTATTTTGAAACATGAAAAGAAAAATAAAATGTCACGAAAGAATAAAATTCAAAAATAGTGAAGCAGGTGGGTTAGTGTTTGAACTTAAGCATTAAAAACAGATTTTGGTGCAACAACCAATAAAGTAGCATCCTAGAGAATATTCCAATTAATTGACCAATAATTGTACACTAGTGTGTACAAGTTTTTTTGGTCAATTAATTACCCCTTAGTTGGGGGTTAAAAGCATGTAAATCATGTGAATACACTGACAACGTTATAGAACACGCCCAAAACAATCAAAGTTAAGCCATTTCACAAAATTAATGCTGAGTTTAACAACTTAACCAGTTTTACATGAAGAATTCCTCTCTGCCTCCCTCCAGGTTGATCCGATGGATCTCTGCGACGCCTCCTACACGGTAGACGCCCAGGAACATGACACAGAGGACGGCAATGAGGGAGAAGAGATTCTGAAATGCGTCTGTCCAGAGTACAGCCTTTAGTCCACCCTGGTGACGAAGCATTGTGTAAATGATAGAGATGACTCAAAGTAGTTTGTTTGCAGTTCACTGTTTACGTTGTAAAATTTTGAGGTGTAAATTTTTGAAAGATTGCAAGCTACTTACAAAGGTTGTATAGAAGATGCAGATTGCACATATTATGGGGGCAACTGCTTGAACTGGCATCCCTGAAACTAGATATAAGTATTTTAGAGATAAGCTTTCAATGGGAAGTAGTGCAATCTGACAACATAAATTGTCATTATGAAGATTTTCTGAATGAATCCTCTTTCATTTGAGACAAATTTTATGATTGCAATACAGCTAAATACTACTTTGGATATTTTTTCAAACGGTTCACGTCTAAATTTGAAAGTATTTCTTTTAAGATTATTCAGTTTAATTAGTGTTAAACATTTTAAGGGAGCATGCATTTATAATTTAACTGTAGTTTTACCTTGATTGAAAATTAAAGCTGGGACGTATATTATTGCCGGCAGGTACACAATCTGAAACAACAACAACACCTTATTCCTATAGATGATTCTATTTGAAATAGTTTGTATCACAGAGATGTAAGGTACAGAGGAAACATTAGTACACTTAAGTGGTGTCCAGCACCATTAGTTGCTGGTGTCTATGAAAAACCCCAACACTACCCCTCGCCATCATGTACTACAACGCTCACGATGGAGGAAGACCCTGTGCGATATAAATTTCCGCACAGTACTCACCGCTCGATCTCTTTTTTGCCCGTAACAAGTATATTTCCTGTATACTGTAATGCACTGGATCTGAAAATCACACGGTCTTTCCATTAGCATGTTTTCTCTGTACCTCATTTCTCTGTGACTGCATATAACCTAGACTACATCGAATGTATTTATTTCAATGACAGTAATAGTATACGTGTTAAAATTTATTGATGCTAGTGCGTCAAATTTCTTAATTGAAAGTAAATAAAAAAAAAAAAAACATTAATTTCCAGTCAATCGCCTACAATTTTAGCTGTCACTAGGTACATAAAAAAATTAGCTGTAGGACATAGGACAATAGGTTCACTCATTCTGGCCAAAAGAAATAAATATTAGTAAAAATGAACTCACTATAAATTGTAAACTCAAACGTAAATCAAAAGCATTACTTTAAAATGTATTTAAGAATAAGAAAATAAATTTAACCTGTGATATCGTGAATATGAGGGATCCAAGCACCCGTACACTGTGGCTGAAGCGAAGTTCAAGATACTGAAAAATATTTAAAATTTACTTAGAATACAAAAATATAAACTTAAAAATCATAATAATGGCCATACTAATTTTCACCACCGAATTGTGTTACTTATATGCTTTTAACAAACCACAACCTTGACAAAGCCTACCTCAAACAGCGACTTGAGCTGCAGATTGTAGAATATCGGCAAGAACAGGGCGATGTTGATGAAAGGAACTATCAAATCAGCGATCATCCCCACAGCGAAGAGGGACCCGTAGGAGTAAGTTTCGGCAGGCGTGCCAACTATGGCGATCCCGGATATGTGGCTAAAACACAATTGAATATCAGAGCTAGAATACTTAGTTGACTTGAAAATCCAACAAAACCATTATGGATACAAGTAGAAAATAGTTATGTATATTGAGAGAGAATACAAAAAGTTAGTGGGATTGAACTCAGTTGATGAGTGGTGAAGTATATTAAACAAATAATTTTGACCACAACGTGAACTGTTTTCGTAATGCTTGGAAGATTGTATTGTACATTGTCTAATTAAAAAGGTTTAATATTTTTTCATTGTCCATTTACATTGCATTTTCATTTTAACAGAGGTGGTATAGGGATTTAAAAGTATTTTTATCTTATAAGGAGTATCCGTAGATTATACAGTATACAGTAGAATTTAACCACAGATTTGACTGACCTTGCCACTTGGGACATGGCTACAGGAAACACCCCCATTGACCTTCCACCGAGCATGTAGTCAGTGTAGTTGTCCTGGCGAGACCAAAATGTGAAGTACACTCCGATCACTAGTGATAATACCAACATGAGCAAGACCACTGCATACTCCTCAGGGGCAAACATCCTGAATCGGGCTTTTCTGTGAACGAAAACAGCAAAGTAGTTTAGTAGATGGATTACAAATGAGTTTTAGTGTTTTCAACCTAATTTATTGCGTCAAATGATGATTTTAATGCAATAAAAGTTTTTCGTAAAATGTATCATTGAAGAAATTTTGATAACCGATTAGGTCAATAATAGCACTGACAAGCGTAGGTTTGATTTTTTTGTTTTTTAAAAGGTACATAAATTTGACTATGGACTATGGATACAGATGTCATAGTATCCTCGTCCGATAGATGGCCTGTAGATGGTTTTACACTCAAAAAGCTATAACAGCTTATTTTTTAGAATTTCTTAATTTTTTTTGGTATGATTGTATAAACTGTGAATTGATAAAGATTGAAATCGCCATAAAATTATAATTTTATTTCGGATTAGAATGGAAAAATTAAAAGGTCAGGTAAAAGTACTTATATTTGTAAATTAATATTTACAAGAATCATAACTACTACTTGTAATACAATTTTCAGTGGAATTCCTATGGTTTCCACTACAATGAAAAACAACTGTTTTAGTTGTGTTTATCATTATAATTTGAATTTCCAGCATTTTAGTAAGGTACAAACCTTGGTCCTGCTACTATTTAAAGTCAACATTTATTTCAATGTAATCATTGATTGATAGTTCTGTCGAATTTCATCTAGGTCCAGAATTGAACAGGTGACCTAGAGATTTGATAACTACCACAATAACCTCTCAGCTACCATGACAAATCCCTAAGCTTTTAACTTGCATCTCACTTGCATTGGAAAGGAAATTTCCAGTCCACTGGAGTAGTAAGTCTTAACAGTTCATAAGCTAGTTTATAGAAAAATATTTGCTATTTATCCTCTCAATGTTGTGATTAGACAAAATATGTCATCACATAAAATATAAGACGAACTCACCTCACCTGAAAGATGGAGATTGTGTAATTAAACCAAGGTAGTTGTCACACTGCCTTAAAATATTACAAAATAAACAGATGATAACAAAGTTGACGCTAAGACTAAACTCTTCTCGTTATATAAAGATAAAGCTAATTACCTTGTTAATCACTTATCTTGCATAATTACTTTCAAAGTTTTGAAATCTTGAAAGACATTTGGTAATTAGCAGTTTTCAACTTTGATAGGGGTGATTGTTTGATTATTGTTGTATCACATTTTGAAAAACATATTTTTGATTAAATACATTCAGATAAATAATTCAAACTGTTAAAATTTTATGATTTTTCATTAATTGCAAAACAGTATTAATTTGGCATCATACTAAATTTAAAATAATGTAATTACATTAGTTAAAACAAAATTACCGTTTATTCTGTTACCACTCAACTTAGTTAACTAACTAGCAAATAACTTAGTTTATTATCTCCAACATTAAATCCCTCTGTAATAATTAATGATCTCTGGTCATCTATGTTCAACACAGTTTCAAAATTGTTTACAAACAAAATTACGTTGAGCTAAATGTTCACTCTAACTGTTGTTTGTGGTTTTATGATCCAATTCAAACTTGTATAACCCTAAAAATAAGGGGGATTTAAAGATCAATTTGTATTTAGTTATATCTAATAAACTCTTTGACTTTAAGATATAAAATTCACGTTAATGTTATGCTAATTATAATTGCATATAACTCATATTGAAAATCATAACGTTAAGTTTCTAACATGAAATATTGTGCTATTACATTTTTAAAGGGGAAGTAGAAAATGAAAAAAAATCTTTTATTGCATTCTCGAGAATAGAGTTACCTCACCTAACCGATCTAAAATCATAAGATCGAAGTTACCTCCTCTAGTAAATTTGCAGATTCGATTCTGGTAAGATATTTAAAATTAAATTTTACCACTTGCAATACAGTGACTCCGAGCTAGATAAAAGTATGTTTAATGAAAGTAAAATCATTTTGTTACCTACTGAATTTGGAGTGAAAAAAGATTTTATTGCATTGCTACAAGGACTTTATGATTAATTCAATCCATCGTAAAATATGAAAAGTGTTTTTGAATTGCAAATTCATTTAATAAAGTCGTAGCACCTGCGAGAAACCTTTCTCCATCGGGTAAATTTATATTTTGAATAACGCATATTTCTAAGACTAAGACGAGTGTTTTTTCATTAATAATGTTCAAAGGGTATTCAAATTGATGGTTTTATGCAAACCTATTTAAATTAATTTAAATGCGATCAAATTCAAGTTTTAAACACTTTTAAAATATATCAATAAAAAATTCAATAACACAAATAAAAATTAAATATCTCAGCAATTTTATTTTGCACTCATTGTACCTTGTTTTTTTCCAACTTCTATTATGAATGTGAGAGAATGAGCTTCTGTTAGAAATGAATAGAGGACAGTTGTAGCTTTTTAAATATTTATTATTAGGTATATTAGGTTTATTAAAGAAAGTCGTCAGTTGTTTTAAAAATAAACGTTCTTAATTAACTGACCACACTAAACCTAAAATCTTTAACAGCAGTTTTAAGTACGCATTATAAAATTACACATACTACTCACAAATTGATTGAGGTAATTCATGAAAGTGTAAAAAATACTTATATGTGCTGTAAGTTTTCAAGTAAAAAATAATTTTTTTTAACACCTTTTTTGTTATTACTTACAGGTAATATTTTTTAAGCATTGGGTTGATCCCTCTGTGAAGACATAACTATATGTTTTACGGTTATTTTCAAGTTCTCAGCTGTAAAAACGAGGGATTAGGATTCTAATACTTATGTATTTAAAATTTATCAATACAATTTGGTAGTAGTAAGTAGTAACAAAATGATTACCATAAAACGGAAGCTTATTTAATAAAATATTAAATAAATAAAAACACATGCGTTAAGTATCTTACTGCGTCCTATTAATAATAAATGTTAAACAACTAGCAAAATGCAAATTGAATAGTGACCTCTCTTTGAGAATAGAGGGATCTATGAATAGTTAAGCTTGTTAGTATAAATACACCATACCACAAAGCCCTGACTAGTTTGAATTAATGTGGTTGCTGTTGACATTATAGCTCTTGAGGCCAGCACCACTATACATTTCCTGTGAGTAACCATGGCGTAAAGACGATTTAAATTTGATACTCGTATCAAAAAGTATTATGTACCTAGAATGGTAATTTAAGCCTTAAAAGGTTGGTAGGGAGCTACGAAACACCCTGGATATAAATTTGAACGAACTTTTTTTTGGCCTCTAGGGACCTAAAAATTAAAAAGTGAATCATTCTCGGGTCTTGGTCTTTCCGTACTGCCTACAATGATATTTCTTCCTATAGAAAAAATCGCTGAAATTCCTATAAAAAATATAGTAGTCTTTCAAAACCTAATTGAAATTTTGACCCTTTTCGTACTTTTGTTGTGAAACTTTATAAAAACTTTATAAAAAAATATTTCCTTGTAAATAATTATTTATGATTTTATCCAGTCTGTTTACAAGTATTTGTATTTGATCTGAAGATGTTGAAGTGCACTCGGTCTGTGTTTGAAGTTTAACTTCTACCCTCAACACGAAACTATTCCAATCTTCAGAGCATTTCCCACCTCCAGAATTTAGAGTAGGGTGTTATGTTCTCCCCACTTCATTACAACACCTCCTTTGTGATGTGGATGAGAACTTAGAAGAACTTTTAATTACAAAAAACGTATTTTCAACCATAATAAGTAAGTGTATCACACTCATCCCATTTTGTAAGTTACAGCTTTTGTGATGTGGATGAGAACTCAGAAGAACTTTTAATTACAAAAACACATTTTTAACCATAACAAGTAAGTGTTTCACTCAACCGATTTTATAAGTTACAGTATTTTATACAGTATTTTAAAGGTTATTTGTTGGGTTAAAACCCAGTAGATCAAAAATTTAACATTAATAATACTATTTTGAACTAAGACATTGGATATTTTAATTTGGACACAGAAGTAATGATGTTAACAATGTTTAATGTAAAAATCACTTTAATGGCATAGAATTAAGTATTATTTAATTATTAAATAATAATATAGAATTATTTAAAATTATGTTAGCTTCCTTGATTGTTGCACATTTAAAATTTCAAAAGTGAAAATAAAACAAAATGCTGTAAATTTGTTTATTTTAAGAAATAAATATAACATAAGCTTCAGAGCTTGTAAACTAGTACAAACAAGTAAAAGTAAAAAATTTTGTTGGATTTTAATATTTTTCAAAGAAGTCACACTTTTGATATAGTATTTGTACTAAAAGTAATTTGAAATACCTTTAGATTGAAAGCTTTTAGAGTTTAGAGTTATAAAAATATGTCTACGTAAGTTAAAATTCTCACAATTGTGGGCACAGAAATGTATAAACTCTAAAAGAAGGTGTTACATAAAAAAAATACAAAAAAAACCTATAAACTAGCCTATAGTGAAAAATTAACTATAACTTCCATTATCGGGTAAATTGTGGTTCGTATACTTATTTCTACACTGAGTTTGATCATATAAAAGACAACAATGATAGAAAGTGCTTATCGAAGATTTATTGCTTGTTGGGATAGAACAATTTGTCTTTAGCAACAAGTGTACATGGAAACTTCTGGGTAACAGATGCTTCGCAACTTTTGCCATGTGAAAAATGCTAAAGGCGGGTTTTAACCATATGATTCTGTGTCTATTACATGTCTTGCAGTTAGTGGAACAAAATTAACCTGCTGGTTTTCGTGAACGTAATTTATTTTTATATTTACTTGTTTGAATGTCTATAAGTATGTTCATGCAAGTGCGGTGTTTACGTTGGGATGACCCTTTTTTATTTTTTATGGATTTAACAATAAACAGCTGTTCTCGGTTTTTATGTAAAAAATCAAAGATTTCTGTACCAAATTAGTTGTTTATGAAAGTTAGTTTTTATAATATAAAGGAATAAAAGATATTTGTACACGTTCTGAAACTGTGTGACCATACAGAGCAGTACACATTATTTAAAAACAAATAATTACCTCA